AGAATAAAATACCAGCAAAATATATTATTTATTCAACAGTGAAGCACAAAATACTTGTTTCTATTTTTAATGCGTATAAAATAACTATATTTTGAATTTTAAATATCAAATATAGTTAAAATTATAATATTTAATATATGTATATGATAAAAAAAGTAATATTTTCATTACCTAACCTATTACATATTTTATTTACAGTTTTTCAATACATTAATCTCTACATACACCGATCGTTGCTAAGGCAAATGTTTAAAAAACATAATTATTCGATTTTTATTCAAATCAAAACTGATCGTCAATCGATAATTGGCCACAAGCTGGAAGAGCGTGAGAGGACTCTTTCGCCGCTCTGTTGCCGTCCTCCGCCATTCTCTCTCTCCATTTCGGACTCACTCCCGCATTTGTTCGGTTGGGAAAACGCGAGCTCCTTTGAAAACGGGTTAAAAACGGTGGAAAAGCACCCGGAAAAGTGCGGAAAAATGCGGATAAACATAGTCCCGCCTTGAAAAACGAAAATCCGAAGGAAAATCGCGAAAATCTACGCCCGGGCTGCGTAGAGGCATTGGTTTTTTAGTTTTTTTTTATGTGTGCAAGTGCAAATGGCGGCGTTCGGTTAGAACCGCACGTACGAAGACGGGATGAAAGCGCACGTGAAGATAACGCTAGGTCCTCCGAAAACGGATCGTTGCTCCAGAGAGCGGGAGAGTGAAAGCTAAAAGAGACTGTACTCTCGCCGCTCCTAGCTTCTGACTTTGCCATCTTCACGTTTTCGCAATTCCTTTTTCTTTTCGTCCTCGGCTCACAAAGTGTTCGGTTGGAAACGCGTGCGCTCCTCTGAAAACGGGTCAAAAAAGCTGAAAAAGCCCTCGGAAAAGTGCGGAAAAATGCGGATAAACATAGTGCCGCAGTGAAAAACGAAAATCCAAACAAAAGCCGGTAAAATCTACGCGGCAAAAAAAATGGTGGGAGAATTGTGAAAAAAAAACCCTACGGAGGGATCGAAAGCTGTTAAATGTACGGCTGAAAGCCAGAGAATCTAAAAAAAAAAAAAGGAAATAAGTGTGTAAAAAGGAGAAAAGGAATTTTGACGGACTTTCCGCTACATACAACAAAGTGAGTACAAATTATACATTGCTTCTTATTTCCTTTATTCTTTTTGGTTGTTCGCTTTTTCCGTTTTTTTTTTTTTTTTTTCTATTCTGCACATTTTTGTGTAACATTTTAGTGTAACAAGAGCAAGAGAGACCATATCATTTGCTCTCTCGCTCTCAATTTTTCGCTGCCGCTTTTTCTTGTTAGCTTTTGTGTTTGTGATTCTTGCTCTCTCTCCCACGGGATGTAGATCCTGGAATAGGATCCACATTTGTGGATACGAAATTACAGACGCTGTTTGTTTACATTGCATGGCTGTAAACTAAAACTGGAAATTATTTGTACAGAGAAATTAACAAAAATCGAAATGAAAAATCCTAAATAATTTAATTAGGCAATACTAATATAATTTTCCGATATATTTTTAATTTCATTTTTACATAATTAATAAATTCTTCAGATATTTTATGCTTCATTTTTAAATAAGAAATATTTTTTAAAGTACATATCTTAACTTTAAAAAATATAAACCTAGCCTTACAAAATATTTTTTATACAAAAAAAAGTGTAAGATACTTAAAAAATTTATTATTTATGTAAAAAAATTAAAAACGTAGCAATTTTAAATATATAATCATAATATAACATAACAACTTATTTTTATTCAACTTTATTAATTTATTTGAATGATATTTTTATTATCCAATTGAAGATTTAAAAATTCTCTACATTTCTGTTGTTTTTTCCTTATATTTTCTACTAATTTTTCAATATCCTTTATACAAGTCTCTGTTTCTCCGATTAACTTTTTAGTTTTCCGTCTAATTTTTAAAAATATTCCCTGCCATTTTCTGATATTAATCAAGTAGTGATAAATATTCAATTTACCCAACTCTTAATCTCCATCACAAAAGGTTACTGATCTTGGTTGATCTCTGCCTAAAAAATGTACCACCTCACCGCTGCTTTTGTAATTATGGCTTATTATCATAGCCAGGTGCAATGGCAGGTAGCCCCAAATGCCGCACATGGTATGTACATACATACATATATTTATGTATATATATCGCATATGGTTAACATTCAGCCAACTGCTAATCTGGTTTCGAACAACTATCGTTGCACGCATTCGCAGTTGGAGTCGCACACTCGCACTCTTATTATTTCTTTGCAATTAAGGCGGCAAGGTCGTCGCCGTTTGCCGTTTGCCGTTCGCTCTGGAATTAACATTTGCCACAATAACAAAAAAAAAAAAAAAGAAAAAATAAATACAACAAAAATGACTTCATACGAAAATATAATTGCAAAAAAAAAAAAAACGAACGGAAAGTGCGGAAAAATTGTGGACTTACGCACTTTGGCTGGCAGCGAGTGCAATGCACGCAGTTGTTAACTTGGCCAGGTATCGAATATTGGTAACTGCCAACGGCATCTAAGCTGGCCAATTTACGACCGGCCTTATGGCTTATGAAATACTCACAAAAAAAAAATACAAATAAAATCACACATATCTTGGGATAGCAATCAGAAAACGAAAAACCAAAAAGCCAAAATAAATTCAGAAACGAAACACTTGCCTAACTGCAAGGAAATGGAGGCATATATCATTAGATAAAGCTAACCAGAGTACACAGGAAGAAAATATATAAATTATATATATTTAAAAGCTGGTTAAATATGAATTATAAATATTTATAAATTTATTTATAATAAATAAATTTATAAATATTTATAATAAATATTTGTAATCCTAGCTAGGAAATTAGTTGGAAATATTTATAGCTAGTAAGAAAAATTTAAAACCTTTTACTTTTTTCTCAAAAATTAAGTTAAAATATTCAATTAGGCTTTAAAAACTTAAATTTAACCTGGCAAAAACCACATAAAAAAAGGTTGCTATGCCAAATGTTGCCAGGAAAATGTTTATAAACATATAACCATGTTGCCAGGCCAAGACTTGCAATTTCTCTTGCTTTTCAGGCCTAAAAATTCCCTAATTTAACTTGTTAAACTCTCAATTATTTACTATTATTTTCTACTATTTACCATCTATTTTTTCTTGCCGTGTAGCCTTAGTCTGAAATCTGAAATCTCAAATCGCAAGCCGCTAACTGCGTCTGCGCCTGCGTCTGGGTTCCCCCTTTCACTTTCAATTATTAGCCAGTGGGCAGCAGTTGCGGTTTTTTTGTATACTTTTTTGGCCTCTTTGCAATTTTCTTGTTTTCGCCTCGCATTTTATTATTATTATTTATAATATGCACACACTTCAGGGAAAAACTTTCGCTGCATGCAATGTTTTTCTTGATTTATTTATTTTTATTATTTTTTTCTTCTCGTTGCATTTCCTGCAATTATCGCATAAGTACGCGTGCCGTGGGCGTACTTCACGTACTTTTCTGGGGGTTTTAATTTTATTTATAATTATTTTTAGTATTTATTATTATGCAAGCTGAAGAAGTCCATATACATACATAGGTGTGTGTCCCAAGTCTACCATTTTGGAGACTCTCCAAACCCTTATTCGTAATTGTAATCAAAATCGAGTATTGCTTCATCATTATGAAGCAAAAAGTATATAATTGTAAGGTGATTAAGCCATCGAGTAATTAAGAGAGGATTTCCCAAAAGAAGACTGGCCATTGGCAATGCAATTTTAAATATTAATTAACAAATACTATTTATGAGGAAGCTTAAATAAAAAATGGGTTTCGAGAGGGAAAAAGACGTAATAATTAAATAAAATTAACTTTGTAAATATAATATTGTTTTATAATAATATTTTGTGATATAAGATTATGATTCTATATTGTTATTTTATTTTATTTTCTTTTGTTTTTATTTTATTTTATTTTCTTTTGTTTTTATTTTATTTTATTGTTTTATTTTATATTATTTTTTATTTTATTTTATTTTTTGTTTTATTTTATATTATTTTATTTTATTTTTTTGTTTTATTTTATATTATTTTTTATTTTATTTTTTTGTTTTATTTTATATTATTTTTTATTTTATTTTATTTTATTATTATTATTATTTTTTTTTTTTTAGTTTATATTTTCCTAGACTTTTTTGCCCATTCTAATAATGAACTCTTGACCAAGCAAACGGACATTAAAACTGAACACGGCTTTAAAGTCGTTAAGTACAAAAACAAAAAAATACCAAACCACTAATTTGTTCATAAATACTTTCCATTTTATTTTATTTATTATTTTTTTGTCTTGGTCTAACCTCCATTAATTTCCATATCTATGGTAATGGTTTCTTTTGTGAGCAAAAAAAATAAGAAAAAATAGCAACAAATAATAATAAAGAGCACAAAAAACAATTGACAAGACTTTTACAAAAGAAACTGCACTCGTTTTAAGATTTTTTTCTTTTTTTTCCCCTCTTAACTGGCCCGATTTCGATGGGAATTGAATTGTTAGGCTGCTCAGGTCGGGGTCGTAGTCTGAGATCGTTTTAAGATCGTTAGCCAGGGGGGTTTAGAGGGGATTTACGAGTATTTTGAAATTAAGAAAACAATGTTAAAAGGCGGCAAAATAATGAAATGAAATGCCAAAATGTTTGTGACTCACAGAGAATAATGAGAGTAATCAAATTTGAGATTTATTTTTTGGTTCTCAGTCTTTGTTCTGCCCTCGAAATTCGGCCTTGAACATAAACAGTAGGGCGTTACTTTTTTTTTTTTTGTAGTAAAGTTAACTCACCAAAAGCTACTATTAATATAGAAACAAAGATAAGTCTCTAGTTTGATTATGATTTATCTCAGCTGAACAGCTGACAGTTTGTCAAGTGACATGCACGTCCTTGTTGATAATGTCATTTGTAATTCATGATTATTTTCTCCCCTCTCGCTTTTCTCCTTTCTCAATTCATTTCTCCACCTCTTTCGTGTGCAAACTTACGCTAATTGAAGCGGCGTTCGTGGCCTTTGTTTTATTATTATTGTCTATTTATCAGCTATTTTCTCCTGCTTCTGTTGTTGTTGTTGTTTATGTTTTTATCTCAGGTTGAATGAAATCTGGTCGTCGTTTTGGATGTTGTTATTGCCTTTTGTTGTTGTTGTTTGCCGGCAGCGTGCTGCGTGCAATTAAAATTCAACAAATTCCATTTCACTTTGAAACACACAAATACAATACATTAAAAAAAAAAAACTCCACAAACTTCAATGTTCGATGAACGATGAACGATAATCGAACGTATCGATTCACGTGCTCACACGGGTTACCGTTACTTGGGCGAGCTTCGGAGAGCTTCGAAAGACTGCGAGAGGGAGAGAGAGCAGGCGCGTGTTGCTCGACGGCGCGTTCGTTGCCAACTGAATTGCACGTTGATCGCCAAAGCGCGGCTTTCAACCGCTGCCGCAGCCGATGCTTTAACTTTGCGGAATGCCACATGGTTGTTGTTGCTGTCAGCGCTCGGTCAGTGATGTGCTGCCAGCTTTGTGGGCCACAAAAAATAGCTAGATTTTACAAATATTTACAACTAATTGTGATAACTAAGCTAAAAATTGATTAATTTTCAATCGGAAAGCTTTTTTATGCTTATTTTTTTTTAGGTTAACAAAACAGCATATTAAAAAAAAAAAAAAAAAAAAAATTTTATTGTTAATTTTTTTTTTGAATTTTTATGATAAAAATTTTGAAAAAAAAATTATAAAATTTTTTTTTTTGTTAAACATGCCTAGTTTGTTTCGGCTTTTGATGCTGATCAAGAATATATATGATTTATAGGCTCGGAAATAGCTCCTTCACTGTCTAAAATCATAATACCCTTCTTAAAATAGATAAATAGATATCCATAATTTTATATGATAATTTTTTGGGACCAATAAAAGTTTAAAAATATCAAAACTAAGCCAAAAAAGCTTTAATTTCAAATCGGAAAACAGTTTTATGTTAGTTTTTATTAGGTTTACAAAGCAGGATATTGAATTTAAAAATTAAAAAAATTAAATTTTTTTTTCTCAATTTTTGGTAATCTTAGCGATGCAAACCCTTAAAATATTTTGAAAAAAATTTTTCAAAATTTGTTTTCTGTGAAAAATGCCTAGATCGACTCGGCTTTTGATGCTGATCAAGAATATATATGATTTATAGGGTCGAAAATGCCTCCTTTACTGTCTAAAATCATAATACCCTGCTTTAAATAGAATAAAAATAAATATAATATTTTTTTGACTAAAAAAGTTTAAAAATATCATAACTAAGTTATTAAGTATTTCTTCTAAATTATATATATATATCTATATATAATACTCTACCATGGCTATAAATATATATAAATCTCATAAACAATAGCTACAAAATAAATTTAAAAACAAATAAATCCATGTGACCAACACTGATTGCGGACGCCTTTCAACCTGTTCGCGCTGCGTTTTTCGACAAAAACTCCAAAGAAATGCCGACAAGCAAACGGTAATGAGCGTTGCAGCAACTTCAACGCACTTTCCAATTGAACCGCTCGCCGCCCAGCATCTTCAATCGTCAGTTCTTCTCTGCCATTTCAATTTCCACTTCAATTTCAATCGAGAAGAAAAACGCAGAGAAAAAGAAATGGAATAAAAAATACTTGCTGATGTCACGGCGGCGACAATAATTGAGAGTGATTTTCAGGTGGAAAAATCAGTAGAAAATCAGCGGAAAATCGGACAGAAAACCAAGGGGAGAGAGCCGGAGGTAAAACGGAAGTGGGAATAAATCTTGGGGGAAAATGTCAGTGAAAACAGGTGAATTAAAATTGGTTTTTAAAAAAAGGGAAAATAATTTGTTATAACAATATATACATTTTTTTATAGAAATTAAAATTAAAATTTTAAATGGTTTATTTAATTTTTTTTTTAAATGTTGATTGAAATGAAGTTTAAAATTAAATAAAAAAATATTTTATAAATATGTAATTATAAAATATTAAAAAATATTATGAAATTCCTTTAAATAAAATTATTAAAATTATAAATAAAATCAGAAAAAATGATTCTAATTTTATTATAATTATAATGTTATTAAATTATTATAAATAAATCATAAAATACCTTAAAATATATTTAACTATTATTAAATACTTACTATAATCTGCTCTAAAATACCATTATCTATACTAATATATTATAAAATAACACAGAATATCAAAAAAACACCACACTAAATCACTATTTCCATATCTTTTACTCTCCCAACGTCTTAATTAAGTAAACTGTTTAACAATTAAGGTGTCTAGATTTATACCCATTAGCATTTATAACCATTGACAAACCCATTTAGCATTCCGATGTCGACTTTATAAAGCCCTTTCGATTATTGGTTTATATAGCTCAAGTGCTGCTCCACTTTTAGTTTTATAAAAGAATGTTACATTTAAAACGGATCACGATTCGCTGAGCAATTGTTAAATAGGGTTGTTCGTTCGTTGATGATTCTTGGCACACAACTGAAAGTGAAGTTTTGAAAACTTGTTCTTCGACTTTGGGACCCCATTGTTGTTGTTGTAATGTTTACTTTATGTTAATTGAAATCACAAAACAACAACAAAACAAATAAAGAATTCAATGCTGTTGCCTTGGATTGGTACAAAAAAAAAAAAAATGCGACGTGACTGGAGAATCTGTTTATGGTTTTTGGGCTTAAGGTTTAAAGTTTTTACTATTTTTATTGTTTTTTCCTTTGGCTTATGTAAGCCTGGGTTTATTTTTAATTATTTCTGGAATGGCAAGCAAAAAAAAACTATATAAAATGTTAAGTATATGCGTTGTAAACGGCCTGTGTAACGGTTGCATTGCAAAGGCAGCCAAAAGATCCGTAAACAAAGGCAAGATAATACGAAATTATAGGCCATATATAAAGCAATTCAAACGGAAAAGAAGCGGCCGGCAATTGAGTGAGCAATTAAATGCTTTTTGAGCGCTTTTTTTTTTTTGGCAGAGGCACTAACTCTGGCTTAAAGTGGCTTAAATAGAGCGTTCAACTTGCCAACAAAAAGCAGGAACTAAATAATAAGTAAATAACAAAGCATAATCTGGGATACAAGAACTAAAATAAACAGAAAAACAACTAAGAAACACTATTTATTTTCTTTGTTTTTCAAAAACAAAACCCATAAAAGAAGCAAAACTCTTAATAGCCATAAAAGTAGCATCATCAGGCATCTGCAATCAAGCCACAGAGATAAAAGTAAGCCAAAGAGCTTAAAAAATATATATATATACATCGAGGGGGAGTTAAAGTCTGGCGCGAAAGTGCTGTTAAAAAAAAATTATTTACGCAAGTGCTTAAATACAAAAACAAAATTAACAAAAACCCAGACAAAAGAAACCCGCCAAAAAGGAGAAATATTCAAGCAGTTGCACAAAAAATTAAAATAAAAAAAAAAACTCCTGGCCGGCAAAACTTCATGACTGGTTTTCCACTTGTTTTTATGCCACACAGACTTCCACCGATTTTTCTCGGCTTTTTGTTTCCTTTTGCCACTTGCTTTATGTAAGGCTGCAACCTGCTGTTGTTGCAGTGGCAAGCAGCAGCAGCAGCGGCGACAAGTTTGTGCCTTAAGTCTTTCGTTTTTCATTTTCATTTATTTTGTATTTTTTTGGCGGCAATCTCACATTGCGAAAGCCAACTGCATGATAAGCAGAATGTTTATAAGCTATTATTTATTTTTTAAAAGTATAGAAGGAAGTTTTAAAAATAAATGAATATAAATTGATTAATACACAAATTTTTCATAATTTTAACATTAAAAAATATAAATTTATTAAAGAATAAAAATTTTGTTAATAATTTTAATAATAAAATTAAGCTATTATTTATTTTTTAAAATTGTAGAGGGAAGTTTAAATAGTAAAAAAATACAAACTAATTAATAAACACATTTTTAATAATTTTAATAATTAAAAAATTTAAATTGATAAATTAATAAAAAAAAAAATTCAAATTGTGAAAGAATATTCCCTTTTACAAATAAAATTTATAAAAATAAAATGTACATACAAGTAATAATTATTATAAAATTTAAGAAAATTCCAATTCCTTTGTAAAAATATTAAAAAATTTAATTTTAATTTTAATAATAAACTTATAACTTTGTTTTAGAAATACTGAATTCTTAAATATTTATAAAAGGTTTTCTCCATTGAACCTGTTAAATATAGTAATTAAAAAAATGCACTTACTGGAATGTATATAGAATAGTATGTATATATAAACATATATATATATATGTATATATATATACCCACTCAAATATCCAATCAATATTCCCCCCCCAAAAATAAGCTTCAACTAAGAAACGAGTTCAACTCCCAAAAAAAAATACAAAAAAATCAAACCCAGCACACACTCTCAAGAGAGATACAAAAATTTAGAGATACTAAACCTCACAGATGCACAGATACACAGCAGTCAATGATCTTTGGGAGTGTTGTATGTGTGTTTTATTTATTTTTGTTGTTGTTGTTGTTAAAGACCAAACGAAACTCGCACATTTTGCCGGCTTTCGGCTGCTGCTTTCACTCTTCATTGGATTTTGGAATTCTTTCATAAAAAATTTCCAAGAGCAAGAGAGAGAAAGAGAGAGAGAGATGAAGGTGGGAGCCGTTGGGATAGGGAGAAAAGAGAGCTAAATAATTTCGAAAACGTCGCCAGTTAACGACTTTTTTGTTTGGTCTCCCCTTCTCCTTCTCCTCCTCCTGCGATCTTCGTTCTCCGTTTCTGCATTTCTTTCACTTGTCATGCGGGGCGTATGAGTAATTTGCAATGTCCATACCTTGAGCCGCTCCCTGCTTCATTTTTTTCTTAGCTGCCAAGGTGCGTAATTAGCTTCAGGTGAGAGATTAAACAATCCAATGATTAATGGTTTGCCTTTCGAAAACCAAATTGAACTAAATCAGCAAAGAGGATGTGGCTAAAAAAAAATATTATAAATACAATAATAAGGGAAAATATGGTAAAAAGTAGACATCAAATAAAAGAAATTTATTGTACAATTTAAGGTGAATTTTATATAAATTTTATAACAATAAAAAATATTCGATATATTTTTTGTAGTTCTAATTAAATTTTTATTTATATATATTTATGTATATTTATCATATTATTTAATTATTATTAATATGAAATTATTATTAATATTGCATATAACATATATTAAATTGTCTAAAAAAATAGAAATAACAAAAACACCTATTTTAATATTTTAAATAATATAACAAGACTATAAATAATTTATAAAAAATGTTTAGTTTTAGTTAAAGAGATATATTTATTATATATTTATATATATATGTAAATTTATCGTATTATTTAATATTTAATAATATTATTAATTTTATATTTAACATATATTTAAATTTCTATAATATAGAAATATCAAGAACACCTATTTTAATATTTTAAATAATATAACAAGACCATAAATATAAAAAAATGTATAAAAAATGTTTATATACGCAGAATCAAATTCTTGACAGCTGAATGACATTTTTTTTTTTAATAAAATTTATATAATTTAATTTTATATTTAATATAAATTATTATTATTATTAAAATAAGCTATTAATACTATTACTAATTAATCTAAGCTCAAGAAAAAACCCACCAAAATCCATATATAAAATATCTTTATCTTAATTTTTTATATATATATGGTATATCTTTATCTCATTAAATCTGTGCTATATCTTCACCCACATTTCTTAATCGATGAACAACGCCCCCTTAAGTTCCATAAAATGGAAAATATTTACATAGCGGTATCATCATCATCATCAGCATGATCACCATGATCATCCCGCAGAGAAATAAAGAAAAAAATCATTTCTGAAGTGAAAAAGAAAGTGAACAACTTGTCGAACAGCTCCGATCTCAGATCTCGAATCTCCTCGATTCTGCCAGCAGCCAAAAAAAAAAAAAAAAAGATACCAACCAGCATGAGCATTTTCTATTATGCAAATAATTATCGTCGCCACGCTCGTTTCCATGAATATTTAGCGCCGAAAAAAAAGCGAAAATTAAATTCAAGATAAACAAAAAACTGGGCAACATGGTTCGGATATGTTTTTTAAGGGGAAAATAAACTAGTCAACAAAATAAAACTCTAACTCTTTTTTTTAAATATTTTAATTGGTGACTTTAAAGATTTTATAGAAAGTTAAATGAAATGATAAATGAAAGAAGTAATAAAATTAATAAAATAAATCCAAATAATAATAATAAAATTTATGAGTTAAAAAATAAATATTCTTTGTATTAATTTATTATATTTATTTATTATTTCCCTATTACTATTTTATAAATTATATTTTTTTTCCCGTAAATAAATACAATTTAAATGTTAAACTTTTATTTTAGAAAATCCCCAAAATGACGCCAGAATCAGCCTGGAATTTCACAAATTTCTTTAACTATTTTCGATTTTATTTATGGTATTGGCCAAAAGGCATTTGCATAAATTGGCCAGGCCAGTAGCAAAAAAAAAAAAATAAACAAACAAACAACAAAAAATAAGGGTCACACTCTCGCCTGTTTTAGAACTTTCCCCGGAGGCTAGCCGCTGAGCCGCACCTGTATTTTACCTGTAACAACGCTACCAAAGCCAAAAGCTAAAGCCAACCAAAATGCCAAACAGCGCACAGCTAATGGTAAAGACTTTGCATACACTGAGAACAAAGTTAGTGGAAGTGGGTCACCATTGATTAATTAAATCAATTTCAAAGATATTTATTTTGTATTTATTTAGGCTACTTCCTTTAGTTTTAATTTCAAAAAAATTTATATTAATTGTAATTAATATTATTTCTAGCAGTGCCTGCACGTGAGTTAGTTGTTTTACCTATGTTTTGTCCACACTTTTGCTCTTGTTACAGTTCAAAATGCCGGCGTGCGTACAAAATTAACCAACAAACTAAATTGAGTGGAAACATTTTGTTTTCTTTGTATTTTCATTTGCATTTTCCATATGGTTTTTTTTTTGTTTTCCAAGATGCTAATTATAATTACAGTGATTAAAATCAAAGTGAAAAGCAAGTACATCAGCCTGCTAAATGGGCGTAAGTGTAATAAATTAAATTAGTTAGATCAACACGGAGATGGGAGATGGGTTCTGCCGGAGAGAGTAGAGGGAAAATGTATATAATATCTAAATCTATAATTAAGTTTAAGTATAGCTCGTAAGTCTTTATAATTATATATTTAATTTTTTTTAAGGAATTTTTATTTAGTTTGGACTTTTAGCAAAGTTAAATTAAATGGTCTTCAGAGAAATACTTAAGAAAAAAATAGAAAAATTAATAAATAACTAAGTTAAGTTTTTAAATTTATTTTAAAATACTTTTTATTAATTTTTTAAGAAGTTTTAATTTAGTTTAGACTTCTAGCAAAAAAAAAGCTTCAAAAATAAAAAATATATAAAAAATAATTAAATTATAAAGTTAATGTATACGTATTTATTATATTTCTAAATTTTCTTTTTTTATTTTTAAAGGAGTTTTAATTTAGTTTCGATTTTTTTGTCGACTTAAAAGTAAACAGACTTGAAAGAAAAATAAAATCTTGCACAGAAAATGTTTTAAAATTAAAAAAAAAAATAAGTATATAATTAAGTTAGGATAGATTTACTATTTTTGTATATATTTAAATTTTTTAAAAGATTTTTTATTTGGTTTAAAATTGAATTAAACTTTAAGGAAATAAAAGCTTTTTGCAAACCCACTTAAAATTCAATTTAGAATTATTTTACCCTAAATAAAAAAAGTAAAAAACTTAAATTTAAAAAAAAACTAGATAAAGATAAACATTTTCCCCGATTGAAACTTAACTTAAACTTAATCTCCAGCGAAATCTATGAAATATTAGGCATGCAAAGCGATGCGGGCCATTACTCAGACTGAGACCGAGCCTCAGTCTCAGACTTAGACTCTCCCATTTCGAAAACGATATCTGTGGGTGCTACATATATGCACATGCTGCTATACCTATACCTGCATATATACACCTTGAATATATATTACTAACGTGCCTGGCATACGCAATTTATGCGTAGAATTTGCAATGGCAGCAGGCCAAATGTGGATCGAGGTTGACAAGTGAAACCAGCTCGCCGATCGCATAGAACAGGTGCGACGCGACGCCTCCAGTTCGGTCATTGACAGTCATCCATCCCAACAGGCAGGCAGACAGGCAGATCTTGGCCAGCCAGCACTTTCACTTGGCAGGCCGGCGGCGTCATTAGCATGGCATCACCGTCATCATCATCATCATCATAGCCACCATCTCCCCATTACCATCATCATTGTTATCATCTTGGCAGCGATTGTGTCTGATCAAGAGGCAAAGAGTTGAGTAATCTCTCGGCCAAAGCTGTGACTTCTTAGCTCTGATATCATAATAAGCGAAAACTGTGGCTCAGTTATGATGGGAGAAGTCGCTTAATGGGTTGAGATATATATAAAAAAAAGTTTATTTATAAGAAAAGATCTTAAATAAGTATTTAAAATATTAAGTTTATAATAAAGAGATTTCAGATAAGGTAAATAAAATAGAAAATTAAGAAATAAGAATTACCAAATAGGTTTATAAATTAAAAAAAAATATTTTAAAAAATTATTAGATACATTTTACATTTTAAAATAAATTAATATAATATTTCATAAATTTTAAAATTAAAAAAATATATTTTTTACATATCAAAATAAATAAATTGAATATTTCATTTAATTTGAAATTTAAAAAATATATAGAAAACATAATTAAATATATTTTACATTTCAAAATAAAGAAACTAATATTTCATACAATTTAAAATTAAAAATAATTAAATAAAAAACATAATGAGATACATTTTTAATTTCTGAATATGTAATTTTAATTGAAAAATTTAAAACAATATAAAAAACATAATTCGATATATTTTTTATATTTTTACATTTCATTTTACATTTCAAAATCAATAAATCTATTATTTCAAACAATTTAAAATTAAAAAAATATATATAGAAAACATAATTAATACATTATACATGTCTAAATAAATAATTTTAATATTCCATTTAATTTAAAACACATTTCTCAATTTGTAGACAGAAAAATAGATATTAGCCTTTTATTTTTATTTGCTTGGCCCAACAACAACAACAAGTTTGATTAAGATTAAAGAGTCGACGTTCTCTGTGCGATAACCCACGCCGATAGCGATAGCGTTTCCCGATTACTTTTACGATAATACCGATAACAGCAGGAAATTTACGTTACGTTAGAGTAAGAGATTGTGTGTGTGTGGTGTGGCATTGCGAATTACGAGTGCTTTGAAGAGGATTTTGCAACTGAAAGCTACGAAAGCTAAGAGTGCCTCTTCTTCGAGGCAGAGGAGGCGGAGCAGCTGGCCTCGTCATCGCTGGCCTTATCGATATCAGAGCTATCGAACGATAACTTGGCCGGCGCCATGGCCGGCAGCAGAAGAAACTCGTTGAACAGGAAATCAGCATCCATGGACTGGGTCTTGGCATGATAGCCGCGAACAATGCCCCGTTTGGGCGGCTCAATGAACCGCTCCTTGACGATCAGTGCCCCCGGCGAAGGTGACGGCGATGGCGATGGTGAAGCCGAAGCTGAAGCCGAGGCGGATGAGCAACAGGCATTGGCCATACGTCCATAGAGAGCTGGCACCGGCGCCGGCTGTGTTCGTCCTCGGTCCCGCTCCGCTGGCCCAGCTCCAGCTCCCGCTCCTGCTGATCCTGCTTCACCTCCTCCGCCCCTTTGTTGATGCTGCGGCGATCCTCCGGCTAAGACGCCGCTACTTCCGCTCTTGAGATTGATGCAACTCTGGGTATGGCTAACATTGGCATAGTCACCGCCAGTGGCCTGCATGGGCACCCTCTTGAGGGTGTTGCTCTCAAAGGGAAAGTTCGAGTTGGACGTGGACTGTGTGAGGTTCTCGAATTTGCGCAGGCGTGCATCTTGGCGCAGATGCTGAGCTCCTGCCGCCGGCAGATTGATGGAAGCATGCAAAATAGCAGCACCACCACCGCCCGTAGAGTCGGACTTTTCTTGTGCCACGCCTCCAACTCCACCTCCTCCACTGCCGCCACCACCACCACCCTCAAACAGACTTATCTGCTTTTGAATACGCGGCGAAACAGGATCATGGGCACGCCGGGCCCCAGGCGAGGGACGACCATGCTCTGGCGATGCCTGAGTGACGCGAACGGGCAGGGCGAAGCCATAGCGCGGATCATCAGTGTCCACTTCCGGTGGACCATCTGCATGGCTGGGACAGCAGTAGCAGGTCTCCAGTCGGGGCTCACAGCTGTCAGCTGGCAGGGAGGGCGTTGTGGCTGCCGACAGAGTGGCATCCTCATCGTCCTCGAAGCCCTGAAAAGCATTAAAAGAAATGTTTAATTAAAGTTTAAATTAAAGTTTGAGGTTAAAGTGTATATAAAAGTGCTCCTAACAGTTTCTGGTATTTTTTTTTAAATTTATGGTATCCTTTTTTAATAAAAAATGGTTTCTATTGTTGATGGTTTTTATTGTTTTTTTTTTTTCGTTTCTATATTTAATTATTTTTTAAATTACTTTATTTTTATTGTTTTTCAAATTACTATATTATTTTTTAATTTTTAATTTTAGAAAAATGTGTATTGTCGTCAAATATCCAAAAATATGTTTATAAAGTAATTTTTCCCCTCAATCAGGATTCATTATTTTGGTTTTTATAATTTTTTTATTTTTAAATACGTTTGAAAGTGTTTTTTTTTTTTTAATTCATTTTTTAATTTTCATAAAAGATTTTCAAAGAAAGATTTTCATTAAAGATTTTTTAAGGCTTAATATTTTTTTTATTATTTTTTATTTTACGTTTAAAATAAGCAGAAGCTGCAAAAGAAGGCTCAGGTCTCACTTGATAATTCTAAATAAATAAATATTAAAAAAAAAAAACAACAAGATAACCACTCACATCCATTGAAAGCGTCATGGAGCCCTTGTTGGCCACCATGCTCAGGTCCAGATCCATTCCAAAACTGACGGGTGTAAGGCAGGTGCTGCCACTGCCCTGCTCCTCGCACACACTGAGGAAAATCCCACCAACGGCACCCTCCTCGCCCGCCTCCAAGCTGTCCTGGTTCATGGGCTCAAAGGAAACAGGAGCAGCTTCCTCCATGATTTCCATGGTAATGTCCAAGCTAAAGAAAATAAAATAAAACCAAGCTAGAAAATATAGGGAAACCTATTCACCTGGGCTGCAGCGATTTCATTTCCACATCCTGGAGATATTCATCCGGCTCTTGGGCAGCCAGCAGGAGACACTCCGGCGGCTGAGTTTGCCAGACTTGCAAAGGACATGGACAAGGATCAAGGGTGTGGTGTTTAAGGGTTTCAAAATGTTAGTTTAGCTTTTTTAACTTGGTTTAAAGGAGCTTTTTTAAATTAAAACCAAACAAACAAGTTTTTAAAATGAAACTCAAGAGATAAAATCATCAAAAAAGACTCATAAAATATAAACAATTTATAATTTATAAATTTTTGTTTCTATAAAATAAAACAAATGTTGAATTTCAAGATTTATATACATATTTATTCAAAGACAAACAATAGTAGTTGGCATTTTCAATGGTTAACAACAATGTCTTTGGAATTAATAATATACAATTATATAAAGCAACCTCTTTAGTTTCGGTTTATAAATTTAAAATCAAAATCAAAACAGCATTTGTTTTAAATGCTTGGCTTTGTGGCATCCGCTGGAAAATAATTTACACAATAAAAAAGAAAAAAGAAAAAAAAAAGAACAATAAAATCAATTAAAAGTCAAGTAAAAATAATAAAATATATATAATATATATTCAGACAATAGGAAAATTAGTAAAAAATATAAATATCACCACTGGTACAACTTCTTGAACCCGCACTTACGCTTGAACTTCTCCTCCGTGACCTCCACTGGCTCAATCCTTGATCCCGACTCGCTGCCCCCTTGGCCAAAGGCATCCTTGGCCACCGTCGTCATGGACATGGAGGATACTTCTGGCATATTTGCGGCAGCAACAACAGCGGTAGACTCGAAGCCACGCGGCGGCGAACCCGTTGGTGTCTTAAAGATCTGCGCCAGGATCATGTCCTGCAGGAAGCCATCGAGCTTGCGCAGCGACAGAGCATTGTGCAGCGTCTCCAGCGGTCGAATGGGCGGCACATCGCCGAATCCTAACCATAAAGGCAGAGTTATTAAACAGAAACAAATATTTTTTTAATTAAAAATATCCTGGAAATATTTTTAATTTATAAAAAGGTTTTTAAATTCCAAATTTAGTAAATTAAAAAAATTTAAGACTGTAAAAGTATACAAATTCCCTACATAATGGAAAAAAATCCTTTAAAAAAAAGGGACCCTATAAAAAAAAACAATTAAAAAATGCTTAACAAAAACATAAAAACATAAAGAATATGTTTAAATAAAGTGTTTTTTTTTTGTTTCTTCAACAAAATTCCCCGAAGAAAAATTCTCAACAAAATCCTTTGCTTAAATCTAATAGTAATGACGTCACTAAGGAATGCTCTGAATATGTGACGTCACTCAGAGAAGAGAGAGAGAGTGAAATGTAGAGTCAGAATGTTGTGTACTCACCGGATGAGGATACCGGTATCATATCGCGCAGATTTGGGGCGGACGAACTGCCGCTGATGACGGCGGTGCTGAAAAGGCTATTCGCACTGGTGGCCATCTTTTTGCTAAAACCACCGAAACCCAACATTTTCATATAGGACATCTGGCCGGCAATACTGTGTCTTTGGCGCCGCGATGATGTGGAAGAGTTGGCCGAGGATACCGAGGCCGAAACCGACACCGTAACTTGGCTATCTGTGGCGATGGTATTGGTACAACAAGACGGGGTCGTGGTAGTGGCAGTGTTTGTATTCGTGGTGTTGGTGTTGATGTAATTGGTGGTGGTGTTGTTGTTGTTGTTGTTGTTGATAATGGTGGTTGGTGTGTTGATACATAATGGTTGTTGTTGTTGTGGTTGTGGACCGTTGGTGAGCATTGTTGAGTGTGTTTGGTGTTGATATGGATGTTGGTGTTGGTGTTGTGGTGCATCAGTTGAGGTGGGACCGATCGAATGGAATTGGTTAGTAAATGGTTGATTAGAAGACATTGTTGTTGTATTATCAAACAAAGCTGCTGCTGCTGTTGTTGTTGTTGTTGGTTGTGTTGGCGTTGGTGTGGGTGTAGGTGTAATTTTTGTTATTTTTCTTGTACCTGTTTTTGTATCTGTTGTTGTTGTTGTTGAAACACTTGGCGTTATCATATCACTTGTAGTTGGTGTTACCATTTGTGTATTTTTTCCTGTCTCTGTTTCTGTAACTGATGTCGTATCTATTTCTTTAGCTGTTGTTGTTACGTAGTCTGGTTTAACTTGTATTTCTAATTTTCTATCGTCCGAAGTAACAGTTGGTGTATCAAATTGTTCTCTTTCTAATTGTGTCATTGTTGTTGTAATTGTTGGTGTCTTTACTTTCATTTTATCCATGCTACTGCTCGCTGATGCTGTTACCAGAACAGTTGGCAAATTGTATAGCATTTGAGGCTCTGGTTGGGGCTGGGATCGTCCTTGATCCGTTTCCACTGTGGGCGTAACCAGCTCCTCAATGGGCTCAAAACAGTTTACAAAACAGGCACTGGGCGGCCCTGCCAAGCTGGCCGGTGAGACAGTAAAACGAAAAGGATTCTCCGTCAAAATGGGAGCTGAAGCTGGCATGGTTAACTGGCCACAGGAGCTACTGGTGGCCAAGCGTTGGGCAGAGGCACTGGCCGTAACCGAAGCTGAAGCTGAAGCCGAAGCCGAGGCCTTGTTCATGTCGTCACATAAACGCAACGTAGAGGCCGTGGGTGAGGTGGTGGCATGGGCCATGGGCGAGAGTGAAGCCACCATTGCTGGCCGCTGGCCAAAGTGAGAGCTCATTAGGATGGCTGGCGCCGAGCTGGACAATTGAAAGTCATCGTCAAAACTGCTGGCACTCGCCTCTGTTGCAGGCTCGGCACCAGCAGCATTCTCTGAATTCTGTCCCCCTTCCGGCGGGTTCGAAGCTGATGTAGTCAAGGCCTGGCCCAAGTCCATCAGACTCTTGGAGTGCGAGTGGGCCTGAGCCGCCGTGGAGCAGCTGCAATTGCAGCTCAAAGGACGCTCATTGGTAGCCAGCGGTGAGATTTGCGGCAAATGCTGCATGTGCTCAAGATCGTCGCCCTCGTCGCAGCTCTCCATGCGACGCATGGTCAGGACATGGAGGCGTTTGTGCGCCGAGGGACCGCATTGCGGGGTAGCTGGATTCAGGGAGAAGTCAATGTCCGACAGGGGCAGTTCGTTGGTGGATGAGTCGATCTTGAAAAAGGAAAGGCTATCTGTGACACGAATTTGGAAGGCAGTCCTATTGCCCAATGTTACGTGAGCTCCGCCCTCCCGAGCATGGGCGATTTCCCCAAAACTGGTACCGCCAGTCACTAAATATAGTCCAAATCCAATTCAAGATAGATAAATGGAAGCAGGATTTAATGGATAGTTAGTTAAGAGAGGCATGACACGATATCGAAATGGGGAGGTTCGAGGGATGGTTTCGATTCCGGTCCAAGTCATTGATATATTTTCACGTATTTTCGGTGTTTCGGAGTATCGTAGTATTGGATGTATCGGTTTGTGGGTGTTTTTTGGTTGTTGTAATCGTGTACAAATAGAAAACTCATTAGCCGAGATAATTAAAAAAAGATCGAAAATCGCGTACAGAGAGAGAAAGAGTAGAGAGAGTTTTCACATAGAAAAACAAAAGGACAGAAAACGAAGGAAAAACAAAAATTTGTAATTATTAAATTAAAAAATTTAAAACAAAGGAAGAAAGAAGACAAAATCGGCAAGCCGAATGTAACGAAATGCTCTTGAAAAAGAAATGCCATAAAAAAGTATATATAACTCGAAGTATTTTGGAAATAAGAATTATTTTAGAAGTCGTTTTGTTATATAATTTTTAAACTATTTTCAGACCAAAAGAAAATCTAAACAGACTTCATGCTTAGTTAAAAATTTGATAGTCTAATAATTCCAATATTTTGTTATTATTTAGAAACTTGGATAGTTTCCAACAAGAGCATTTTATGGAATTTTTAAGCTGGCAATCTTGGAAGCAGCAGCGGCAAAGGCTTTTTTAGTAAAATAAGAATTTTAGTAGAAAAATATATCAAAATTATTAAGTTCCAGGCTTCAGAAGAGTAAGTGGGTTCCAGTACTTGTTAGGTCCTTGTGTAGAGGGTTTTGTTGGTGTATTTGTGGTGTACTTTTAATGTAGGTTTGTGGTGTATTTGTAACGTATTGGAAACTTGTGTTTGTATTTATGTTTTCTACCTTTTATGTAGGTTGGTGGAGTACTTGTGGTGTCGGGTAGTTCTGTTTGTGGTGTATTTGTGGGGTTTTTTGGTAGGTATATAAAGAGGAGGGGAATAGAATAGTCTGGGTCTGCAAACAACAACAACGAGCAACGTAACAGACACAGACAAGTTAACGCCACAAAAACCAAGCTTAGTTCTTGAGTTTCTTTTTTTTTCGTATTTTAAATTGGTTAAATTTTCTTTTTTTTTTCTTATCATGCACGAAGGCAAAAACAGAGATAGATAGACAGGACAGAGAGAGGTAGATAGACAAACAGGCACATAAAAAGAGAGAAAGATAGAGCGACAGGGAAAGGGGATAGAACATAGTGTGACCGTTCGTCAGCTGGACCCCAGCAAAGATTCTTTCGTCTTTCTTTATTCGTTTGCCCCAAAAACCTTTCTCTAAAAGAAGGGTAAATGGGTTGCCTAAATCTTTCCTGGGGCTCAGCTGCCTCTTCTTTTTTCTTTTCTTTTTTTGTGGTTGCATGTTTCAGGACGTGGCAAATGTGGCTGTGTGTGTTTTTCTTTATGGCGGAGACAGTGTGACCAGCATTGCCAAGTACACGGGATTCCGCGGCCAGATGCTTATCGATTTTCAGTTTTTCTTTTATTTTCTTTTTCAATATAGATCGAGATTATATTACGCAGCGAAAGAGACAGTTTGTGATGTGTATTTCTGGTGTTTTTTTTTTTTTTTTTGTGGTGTGTTTCTGAGTGCGTCTCATCGATCGTTTCGCAATAGAAAAAATAGAAAACCAAAAAAACAACAAAAATGTTGGGCACAACTCGAGAGAACAGGATACAGAGAGATGGAAAGTCTTTTTAGTTTTGATGGAAAATCACAACTGAACAATATTCGTTTACCATTCGTAACAGAGAGAGAGAGATATAGAGCTAAGGGATATATATTATCTAGATTTATATATAAAGATATTTTTGATAAAAAAGAGTCAAAATATTCATCAAGGGGCAGGGTGACGACAGGAAATAAACAAAAAGAAAGCGAATGTTGTGAAAATAGTGACGGGTTCTTTGGGGGTCCTTTTTTTTCCTTCTTATTATTTTTATTTTTTAGTTAGTTTTTGGGTATTTCCCTTTGGTGTTATTAGCTGGCAGTGAGTGCGGGTTGTGGGGGAAACCGTGAGACGCAAACACAGAAAACAATAGGAACGGCATGCAATATTAGAGAATCCCACAAAAAAAAATTATTTATATATAAAAGAAACCATAGAATGATGTTAAAGTTATGCACAATTTTCAACAGATGAAGAAAGGGTAGCTTCGGGGAGTAACCGAAGAGGTATGTGACTTGGCAGGGAACTTAAAAACTTAAAGAAGAATTCTTCTGAGTTGCTTTTCGTGATCTTTTCTTTTTGAAATAATTTTTCTAAATTTTTTTTTTATTAAGTATTAGGCCTTATATTTAATAGTAAAAATTATGATTTATAGTAATCCAGTCTTGCAGAGATTTTTTTTTTAAATATATACCACTTAAATAGGTTTTTCTAAGTAAAAAATATAAAAAAATCGTAGTTAAGTAATTATAAAACCTTAAATTAATTTTTTAAATTCGAAATTAAATAGTAAACTAGATTTTAGGATAATTTTATATAAATTTATAAAATGTAGATAATTTTTTGCCTTTTTTTTTTTTGAGTGTAATTAATTTAAATTAAATTTTTAAAATCGGATTTGTATAGAAATCCAGTTCTTAGGGTGATTTTATATAAATTTTCAAAATTTAAATAGATTTTTGAAGGTAAAAAAAAATTAATAATTTAAGTAATTATCAGACCTTAAATGTAATACTTTGATTCTATATAAATTTTATATAAATTTTTAAAATTCCGATAAATTTTTCCAAGTAAAAAACAAAGATTTTGTCACTAGTTATCCTAATTTAAGTTTTATTACTCAAATTTTAAATTTATGTGGCTTTAATCTTTAAACTTTAGTGCCCAGTTTAAGCTATATTAATTAAGGATTTTTAGATTTCTTTAAAATATATAAAATCTTCTTTTAGAAAACAACATTGCCAGCGGAAAAACCAACCTTATAGAAACACATACCCTGCCAAATCAAATCAGAAACCAAGTCTAGTTGGGATTAGCCAATCGAAAAAAGTGTAAAGATGTTGTGTTAGACAAGAATGCGAAACGCAGGAGTTGGGATCTTGAGGAAAAGAGAAGGTTGCTTGGTTTGGGTGAAAAAGTGAACCTTTTTGTGGGGGGAAAAAGGCAACTGCGGCAGCTTCAGCGGCAGCGGCAGAGCGCAAGCTTTGCTTGATCAAAGGGGTGTATATGCCCCAACCCCATACACACACACACACACACACATGTATACGTACCCGGCATCTTGGCACAAACTCCTGGCGAGGGTCGCTGCTCAAAGCTGCGGGAACGAGGCTCACAATCAGGACTCACAGCTCGTATATCCGGACTAATAGGTCGCAGCTGCTGCTGCTGCTGCTGTCCTCCCTGCTGCTGCTGTTGCTGCTGATGCTGCTGTTGTTGCTGCTGCTGCTGCTGGGATGCCAGCTCCTCATTGAGACGCTTGGCCAAATCCATGGCCTCATGACCACTAACCGTATGATGGGCGCCAATGGGTATGGGCTTTGATTTGAATTGCTTGGAACGCAGCTCCAAGCGATTGAAACCAAAAGCAGGCGAAGCACGATCCGAGCTGCCAGTCTAAAGAGGATTTAGTAAATGAATTAAACGAAAAAACAGAGATATATTTACCCACTCACCGAACGCTTCTTGCCATTCTGCTCCTCGCCCGAATTGGAATCATTCTCCTCCTCAATCCTTGCAGGATTGGATTCCTCCGATGACTTCAGGCTCACAATGCTGGCATTATCGCCATGCGAATGTGGCCGAAAACCTGGACCCGGTGGCAAATTCTTTTGGACGCAACAATTGACGCCGGGACTGAAATGCAGCTCGACATGGAAACGTTCCTCGGATGTGGGATCCTTGGTGGGATCCTCGTACAGCATAATCACAATCTGTGACATGTAATTCAGTTCGGATACCATGGATATATAGTCCATGGCGCGACGCCATTGCTCATCGGTGACAACATTGAGGAGCTCGCCATAGCGTAAAACCGTGAGCAACGAATGGACATGCGATTCGCTGGTAAAATACAACCTCGTACGGACATGCCGCTGGGGACTGGCAACGCCATGACTATAATGCGGATTCAAACGATTCATAAACTCATCCTCCACCTCGTCAATGTTGTGCTGCAGATCGCCCTTGATCTTGCGCAGCAACGGTGAACAAATGCCTTGGCCAATGGCCAGTTTCTCCTGCGGCGTCAGGCCATATTCCTGCGGTATCACTATATCGGCCAGATTCTTGGCATAAATATACAACTCCTCGGCCTGATCGTACTGCAATGTGTGCTGATTGTGCTGCAAATCGTACTTGATGCAATCGTAAATGTCGGGTATCTTGGAGATGTCGAAGAGCTTCGATTTGGTACTGAAATCCTTTTCGATTTTCTCCCAGCGACAACGCATTAGGTCCCAGGTTTCGCCATGATAGAGGATAGCATCCTTGGTCTTGGGATCGTCCTTCTTGATGCTAATGATGTGGAGTAGCTCGCGGATGAGCAGCAGGACATGGTGACAACAGTCCACTGGGTTCTTGACAAAGTCCAGAGCCTGGGTGATGGATTTGCTGTTGCAGGGATTGATCAGTTCGCGGTCTACCTTGGTGAACTCGCGATCGTTCTGCATGAGCTCGTGCAGGCGACCCTTGGCCCTGGAAGGGGGATTAATTAATATAGATATTGGTATTCAGTAATTTTCTTGTGGGTTTTCTTACATAAACTTATTAATTTTAATATTTAATATTTAATTTATTTTATATTTTTAATATTTAATTATTTAGGAATGTACATTTATCGATAGGGAAAATATCAATATTCCATCGAGAGCATTAAATTTGAGATATCGAAATTTTAAATATTGAAAAATATTGAATTTAAAATTAAATAATCTATGATAATAAATTATTATATTTTAATAAAACCCTCGGGGGTTTTCTAATATTAATTTTTTATTTTATTTTATTAATTTTTTAGATTTTTTTGATGTAAATCGAAAGGAAAATTCCAATAATATCAAAGCAATTTCAATATCCTATTAAAAGCTTCCTAAAAGTTAATATATCGAAATTTTAAATATTAAAAAATATTGAATTTAAAATTAAAAAATCAGTATAAGAGAAAATTATTAAATTTTACTTAAAAAAAAAAAATTATATAATCGAACAATATCATATTTAAAGTAAAATATTTATAATCTATATATATTATATTTAAACTTCAAATTATCGATAAATATATATATAAAAAAAATATATATATATATAAAATTAAAAAAAAAAATTAAAACAAAATTTACACCACATTTATATTTAATCGATATATTAAGGGGGGGGTAAGGTATTTAATTTTTTTTTCGTAAATTTTTTTTATTTTTTATTTTAAAAGTTCAATATCTTAAGAATATTGTGTCCAAGTTTTACATCAATCAAAGTAAAATTGACGAAGTTATGCGGAGTTGAACGAAGGTCGTCTGGTGTTCAATGCATGAGAATCACAAAGTTTAAAGCGCTCTCCTGAAAAATGCCATTTTGAAAATCGGTGTACACGATAACTAAAAATATACTGAACCAATCGGTTTGAAATTTGGAACATAACTTCTTTAGATAATTCTACAGGTATTCTCGTCGAGCTTTTTTAATTTTTAATTTTCTTATATTTTTTATTTAACAAATTAACTTAATTTTTTAGTCAAAAATCGGGGTTTTGACTTCAAATTTTGATAAAAAATAGGGAAAAAATTTTAAAAATAAAAACGCTTCGAGAATACCTCGGGACACTTATCCTTTAACGAATGAGGTATAATTTTTGTAGATCGGATGATTCTGTGGACAGTTAGGATGTACACCGCAAACCAACTTTTTTTGGAGGCGACTCGGGAGATTCCCTATAACTCCTCTACCTCTAAATATTTTTCAATACAAAATTTATCACAAACTGTTGAAATGTTGTGTTATTATATGGTATTTAATTCGTTAAGCTAGCTTTAGCCGTTTCGCCACAACATTTTTTTGAAAAGTGGGCATTTTTGCACCGAATTAACCTTACCCCCCCCTTAAACATAATATCGATTTTTCAAAAACCGTACAAAAAATCGATTTTCATATCGATTAATTGTTATTTTCATCAAAAAAGCTACTCACAGATTCTGATACTTGCTGGAATCGCAGTCATTGTCCAGCAGCCCATTGGTATTGGCGCTCTTCACCATTTGGACAAGAATGGGCGTCAGCTCTCCCTCCAGGGCCAGCAGACCCTTGGCAAAAGCGGCAGCGGTCATTTGGACACGCCCCTCGTCCGAGGCATAGATTTTCAAATCATGACGGAATGTGGAGTGTAACCTGGTTTCCAAATAAAACATCATCAACTACAAGAGTTTTCCAACTAAAATCGAAGGAACTTCCTACCTCAAGAGTCCCAATCCCTGGGTGCCCGAATAATCCGCTCTACCCTGTCCACCCGGATACATGCACCGAAAGATGCGGCCCAGCTCCTCCGCCTGAATGCGACCCGCCGGTGTTAGTTCACCGCCCCACTTGAGGATGAGGACCAGCGATGGCTCCGCCGGCTGATCGGCTGCTAGATTGGCTTCACATTGGTTAGTACTCATCGTTGGGAGTTGGACTTTTCTAGTACTTACTGTCATCGGAGCTGGAGCCACGGGGTCGTCCCTTGGGCTGGTATTTCATTTGCACCTTGCGATTGATGCCCGAAAAGTGACCGTACATCTCGAGGACATTCTTTAGCTGCTCCAGCTTGCTCTCCTTCTCCTCGATCTCGGCATGGGCCTTGGTGTGGATCTCGCTAAGCAGGAAGCGGGCAATGTCCAGGATCTCCTGCAGCTGCTTGGGTCGCTTGAGCTTGACATGGCCCAGCTTGTAGCCATTGTACTTGGCAAAGATTTCAAAGAATCTGGGAAAAAAAGGGAAATAAATAAAGCAAAAGCCTGATAGTAAGGATAATGGATCTACTCACTTCGGATGCCGCACCTCCACCTTCATCTTCTGCTTGGGCGTACGATCACCATGACGTATAACAGCCACCACGCAGCGCAGTTCCATCATCTTGCCAAAGGTGGTGGGCACAATGGGTGGATCATCCAGTTGGAAGGGCACAGACCAGGGTATATGCAGCGTTGGCGTTAGCTCCCTCAATATCATATTGCCCAGAATCTTGGCACAGTCATCGTAATATTTATTTGAATTCTTCACGAAACTAAAACCATTCACATCGCAGACATAGCTCTTGCCATTGGCTCGTAGCAAATCAAAGCCGCAAACCGTTTGCTTAAAGGCCAGACACACCTTCCGGGAGATGAGCTTCTCGGAGTGATTTAGAATGACAGGATAGCGTATCTCCTTGCCCTCGCTATCGCGTTCAACTTTGCCATCCAGGGCAGGACTCTTGCGTGCCTCCGCATGGGCATAGTCGGGACCCACAGTGTAGACCTTGACATCGGTGCCTGAAAAGTATACTAAGTTGTAAAGGTGATGCTGGATTCAGTGCGTTCGACTGGCGGCCACTGGTGTGTTTCGTTTGGGTGTTTCTTTATTTCTATTTATTTTTATATATTTAAATTGATTTTTGTTTGTGTTTTTTCGGTTTATTTTTCTTATTTTTAATTTTTGTATTAAAAAATTTATATCAGTGAACTTGACGATGAGCGGCGCGTGCGGAGCGAGACGCAGGACAAGGCACAATGAGCGATGCTTCGTTGCAGGATTAGATCAAAGACAATAAAAGCTATAAGATGCATAGCGCCAAAGGTAAACTCTAAGCTCTCTGGAGAGAGAGCGCATCTACTACGCTCTCTCTTAGCTCTCTTCAGAGAGAGCGCATCTATTTCGCTCTCTCTTAGCTCTCTACAGAGAGAGCGCAACTTTTACGCTCTCAAATTTAGCTAAAGAGAGAGAGGCGTTATGCATTTTATAGTTACTAAGATGCATAGCGCCAAGGGCTCTTTCTAAACTCTCTTGAGAGAGAGCGCAACTTTTACGCTCTCAAATTCAGCAAAAGAGAGCGAGAGAGGCGTTATGCATCTTATAGCTACTAAAATCTTTCTTTAAAGTGAGTTTTAAAAAGTGTTTTGAGTTTCGAGTTTCGAGCCAAAGCCATAACAACAACAGACAGCCAGAGCGAGTATTGGATATGGTAAACAGGATATGGAAAGGATAAGGAATCAGGTATATATATAAAAGAGTATATATAGGATACACGGGATCTTGGCACAACAGCATTTGGAGCAAAGGGATTCAAAGAGAGAGCAAGTTGCATACCATCGGTGGGCATAAAATCCTCATAGATGAAGGAGCCTGTCTTGCGGACACGCGACTCTGGTGAATAAACGCTGCTCCGGCTGCCAATTTTACGAAAAAGCCGCTGGCTACCGCCACCCGCCGATGTGGGATAGTATATATAAATGTTGTGATCCTCCGCCGAAACGGGTTTCTCCACAAACGGTTTGTTGAACGTAATGCCATTCACCTCCACATGGTCCTCGGATTCGATGAGTTCGTGATCTAAGTGGAAAGAGGGGTTTAAAAGATGTTAGTTTATTGTTACAAGCCAAATTTGATAGCTTTACTTACGCTTTGGATCTGGGGAATCCCGATCGAGGACAGCATAGCGCGGTATCTCGATGCCCTCCTTCTCCAGAATGGCATAGACCCGCCTGCGGTCCTGGATATCGTACTGCATATGCAGGTTGTTCAGCACAAAGGGATTCCGCAGCTGGGCATACTCGATGGCCTTCTCCAGCGGGAAGCCCTTCGAGTGGAACGAGACCAGGCAGTCGCAGGTGGGCCAATTCTGGACGGGTTCACGCAATATAACATTCTCCTCAAATGTCACCAGTTTGATAAACTCAAATTCCCCCAATCGTGTCAATATCTCCTTCATGGGCTTCGATTGGGTCTTCTTGGCCATGGCACAGATACCAACGACCACCTGTTTGCTATTGCTGGACGAGGTGCTCGTATCGGAGTCCATGCCGTCATTGCTATCCCCGAAATCGGTGTCGCCCTTTAAGAAATATGAGAATATTGGATTATGAATATGATGATGGGGTTGTTTCTTGGTTAATTCCGTTGGTATTTTGAGCATGATGAAAGGGGGTTTTAAAAACAAGAGGTGCTTGATGCAGGCTGGCAGGCAGTTAATAAATCCTCTCCGAACTTTCTTTTTGTTATTTTTTTCACAGTGAACTGTGATCAAAAACAAATAAATAATAATACACGAAACTAAGCCAAGCAATTAGTGATTGATTTTGCCCCTGGCAACTCATTGGCTTTGGGATTAAGTCAGTCAATCTATCAATCAATAAGTAAATCAATCAGTCTATCATTCAATCTATCATACAATCTATCATTCAATCCCTCTACCCTTCAATCAATCAACCTTTCAACTAACCCAAAGAGACCTACATTCAAACACACATCGCAGAAGCAGAAATCATCGCTATCCTCATCGCTGCCATGCATCGGTCCATAATCTTCGTAATCGCTGACATTAAAGGGTCCATATTCCCCATCATCATCTTCGTTTTGGTTTTTAGCCATTTTTAGGGGATTCCCAGCCTCCATTTGGCCACGAACTCCGGCACTTTGACTCCTTCGCTGACGTTGCAACAAACGATTTCGACGCAAACGATCACGATCTCGGGCACGACCACGACGTCGTCGATTTATGCCTCCATCCAAGCTGTGCCGGCGTTGATTGTGCTGCGACTCTTGGCCAGCAGCATCACTACCATCGGTGGTCTGGTGATGCTCCGAGTCAGGAGGCAATATGGTGGCAGCTGTCACAGCCGCCGCTTCAGCTGCAGCGGCAGCTGCCGCCTCAAGTTTCTTTTTGTGCCGTTGATGGCGAGAGCGGAGCTTCTTGAGACGCCACCAATCCTTGAACCAGGTCCATTCCATAATGTGTGTTGCCAACTCAGTTAGTTTTGAGGCTGATTTTTTTAAAAGGTGTATTTTTAAAGGATTTTTTCAGAACTTTTTTAAGAATATTTCAAATTTTTTAATTTTTAAATATTTTCTTTTTAAGCATTTTATATATATTCTTTTTATATTTTTAATTGTTTATATTTATAATACTTTTCTTTCACTAAAAAATAAATTTAAGAAATACCTTTTTATTTATTTTATTTAAAATATTCCACATTTATTTAAGTTTTTAAATAATTTTTATAGAGGTAAGGTATTTTCTTTTTTTTTTTTTTTATTTTATTTTTAAATTTTATATTTATATTACTTTTCTTTCATTAAAAAATATATTTAAGCTTTTTATAAACATTTAATATTATGCAGAAATAATTTTAATATTTTATTTAAAATATTTCACACATATTAGATTTATTTAGATTTTGTAGAGCCTTTTCAAGTATTTATTAAAAATTGTTTAAGGTTCTTCCTTTTTGTATTTTTAAATATTACATTTTTTGTTACACTTTCTTTATTTAAAAACAAATGTTGAACCATTTTTAATCATTCTACATTGCATATATTTTTGAATTTAAAATATTTCTTCATTTTTCATAAAGAAAAACAATTGTTATACTCGCAAAGTGCAAAAACAAATGAAACTTGAATTATTATTTATTCAGCTTAGTAAGTCTCCCAAAATAAATCTTGATATATTTGTGAAAATAATTGAAGCTGTTTTTGCTGGCAACACACACAGCTAGGAAAACACGTACATTACGTGCCGGTGTCTCGAATTCCCCCAAAAACAGATGATCTAACCGGAGAAGCCGCGAAATACCCGTGGAAAATATATATCGATAGAGCAAACACAAAAAAACCGAGCAACTCCGAGCTCCGAGTAACGACTAACGGAACCCAACTCAATCCAACTGAACTAAACCGAACTGAACTGAGGCGATCGAAATGATATAGTAGAACGCGGGATCTCGCTTGGGATCGAATCGGATCGCCACGGATCGGTGTTCAGGGCGCACGCCAATTGGTCTGCGCCCACTCTCAATGTCAGAGTGGAGAATCTCTGATGAGCTGGAGACAAAAGCACTGGGGGAAGAGTAGGGCAGGGAAGAGAGCCAGAGAAGCTGCTGCCGCACAAAGAGAAAAAAAGATAAGGGGCGAAGCACTTGAAGAAAATTGTGAGAGTTTCTATAAATTAATATAATTTTTTTAAGGAAAAATATATGAAAAACTTTAATTTTTGTGATATTTATACAAAATATTATTTTTAAAATTAGTAATAATATTTTTGAAGATTTTAAAAATTTTAATTAAATTAAGAGAATTTTGGGTACAATTTTAAAAACTATTTAAAAATATTCAAACTTTAAAGTCTAAAAACTTTTGTTTTAAATACCGATAAAAATCGATTAATTCGATAAAAAACAATACTAGTTCTTATAAGAGCCTCAAAAGAAAAGGAAGAACTTAAAGCTGAAAAATTATTTATATTTTTGTTTAATTTAAATTCCAATAATGGTAATTAATTTTTAATTTAATTTTTTGTTTGTTATCAAAAAGTAAATCGATATAATCAATAATTATTAATTGTGCAATTTTTTAGAATTTTCTTTCTTTCATTTTTTGATAGTTTCTTTCTTTAAAAATATTTATTTATAAAATTATTAAATTTCTTGCCTTTCTTCATTTTTTTCACCGAAATTCTAAAACCTATCTAGACATTTTTCACTGTACATTTGTGAGAGAGGGCGCTCTCTTTGTGTAATTGTTTCGACATACTGAAGGCGTCTTGTTATCTTGGTTGCTTTCATTTGTTGACGACACGACTTAACTACAACTTATATAGCGTACACGTCCGGCTGCCGATCGCACAGCGCAGTGTGTTAATGAAAGCAACAAAAGCAAAAACAAAAGAAAATAAACACCTAAATAAAAGTAAAAACAAAGACAGCAACCCGATAAGAAATTCGCCCCCCTTTGCCATTTTCAATGGTTATGATAAGAGGCAATCTGCGATCTGCCAGAAAATCCTACCAAGCGCCCAATTGGCCAGGTAAATAATTGCTCTCTATATATAGATCAACCGTTTCAATAAAGATACTCGAAGTTAACAAGCGCTGTACCAATTAGCACCTGTGCAATCTCTCTCTCTCTATCTCTCACTCTCTGTGTGTTCATCTTGAAGGTGCAAATCAGACAGGCGAACAACTGAATCACGATTCATAGATACAAAGATACAAAGATACAGCTTATAGTCACAGGTGTAATAAACCCTAGAGACAGAAGCTCACCAAAGGGGGGGTTTGAGCTATTAAAACTTTAAGCACTTAATTTTAAAATAATATTATAGAACTTCTGAATTAAATGCTTTAAATCTCAGATAGCTTTAAAAATCTATCTTTTGTTGAAATTATTTCCTTTACTTACTTTTTTAACCTTTTTCTTGAAAAGATATTTATAAAAATCAAATTTTAAAAGTCTACTTAAACCCATTTTTAATTTTTAAATATTTTTTAAAAAGATTTGTAATAAGCAAAAATATTAAATCCGAGCTTAACTGCAGCTTACGAAAGACCGTCTTAAACTGAACTGGGCATAATTTCGAAGAGCAACATCATGGCTTGGTTACATAGGTTACCTATATCCTATACCTAACTGTATACCTATATATGTCCAGGGAATTACCAGGCACACCGGCCCAATTTTCACAGGAAAATGTGCTGTAAATTAAATAATCATTGGGGCTCCCTTCTAAAAGTACATAGGTGGTACCAAGGTATACCATTGTACCAAAGTCTCTCTAAGTTCAGAAATATATATAAACACATAAGCTTTTGATAATATTAAAAAAAAATATTTAAAAATATATATATAATATAATTTAATATTAATTAATCACACAATAATATTAACTATTTATTTTCGGCTACAGCACTTTGAAATTTATATATATTTACACCTTTATCACGCAGTTCATTAACTTGTCAAGCTTTCAAAGGCCCCTAAAAGTATATGTCGTAAGATAAATACACTGAAAAATCAGCTCAATAAAATATGCTATATTTTATTTTATTTTATTTTTTTAAATCTTTGAAAGCTTACCCCAACTGCAAAACAAAAAAAAAACAAAAGAAATATAGGAACCGCGCTGTTCGAAAGTCGGAGAAGAACTGAGGAGTCTGGAGATCTAAAGATATATATCCCAGAGCCCGTATACCCACGAATCAGGCAAACAAAAGACACGGGCAAACAAACAAATTGAACAAATAACTGGGTAACTCTCGGGTAATTAATTAATGCAGCCAAAGGAGCCCAAACGCAAAATTTAATTAAAATTTAGCACGCGCCAATTGAGCAAACAATCGAAACGTAACGGAAACAATGCCACAAAAAATAAAGAAAATAAAAGTTAGAAAATAACGAGCAAAAACGTAAAACAATAAAAGATTCACCGGATGGGAGAACGATGAGGAGCGCGGCTCCAGCAACTCGCTAACATCGGTCTCAGTCTCTGGATATTTCGATTTCGGGTTTCGTGGTCGGTGGATATATATTCATATATTTGTTGTTTTTTTGCAATTTGCGGGGGCGGTAAAAATAGAAAGGCGGCAACGGTGGCGGCGGGATGGAGAAAGAGGATAACAGATACCAGATATAAGATATAAGTTATAAAACAAAACAGTCGTGGGCAGTGGTTGAGCTGCACACCCACGCACGCACAGGAATAGAATAAAAGGCAGCTCGAACACTGGAAATAACTAGATATACTTTCTAACCAAGAATGGTCATTATTAAATTTTTTGTTAATTTTTAATTAAAAATTTTTAATTGTAATTTTTAATTTGTAAATTTTAATTTGTAAATTTTAATTTGTAATTTTAAATTTGTAATTTTAAATCCGTAATTTGTAATGTTTAATTTCTAATTTTTATTTTTGTATTTTATTTTAAACCATAAATGGTTAAGACAAGTCTTAAAAAATCCATCTTTCGATATTTGTACACTACTACATTTTCTCTATTTATTATTATTTTTTCGAGTGTAAAAAAAAGGACACGCACCGCCCAGATTCGGCGTAGAGTTTACGTGCGTCAGCCAGCGGCGTCCTGACGATGCGCTGCTCTGCAGCTCCGACGCCGACTGCGCTGCCCCGGCTGACTGCACTGCACCCGATGATGATGATGCTGCCGCTGCTGCTACGCCAGCCTCTGCTGCTACCGGCTGGCAGCGACGTCGACTCCAGCCGCGACGCCGCGCACTGCTGCTGCTGCTTTTGTTGTGGCTCCCGCCTCTGCCACGCCCCCCAGCGGCAACACCACCCACGCCGCCACTGAACTTATCAAAGCTATTGCCCATTTGTTGAACTGCTTTGAGAGCGAAAGAGATGGGTATATAAATTATGCTCAGGCTAAAGGAGGCCGCGCCAGTGAGAGAGAGTCAGAGAGAGAAAAAGGAGAGAGAGAGAGAGCAAAAGCTTTTGGCATTGACATTGACCAGTCAGCTGTTGGGTGGCAAATAGAACAAGAAGAAGTACAAGAGGAGGAGAAAGAAGCTGCACTGCCGCTGCAGAAAGTCCCGCAAAAAGTCAGGGTCACATGCACAAGTCCACAGCTGAGGTCGCAATAATAGCACCAAGAATTATGGCCTATATAATACTAAACAAATTATATATACAATATTTAATTGACTAAAAATTTTAGGAATTATTGAAATAATTTAATTTAATTTCTGGTGCTAAAACCGCGACCTTGCCTGTCCACCCGCACACATCGATCGCCAATGGGGTAAAATCGGTCATCGATAAACGTTAACAGCGGTTATATTGGTTAGTTATCGGTTAGATTACAAGTGTAAAAATCATAATTAAAAAAAGCGCATAGCATACGTTGCCATCTTGACCCAAATAGAAGCCGACGCGCTGCTGCTGCTGTCCCGCTGCCGAAGTCGCCGCTGACGTTGACTGCGACTGAGAGTGATGAAAGCTGTGTTGTTGCTGCTGATGTTGCTGCTGCGATGCTGCAGCGCTGCCCTGAGCGGCCGACTGACGCAGATCCTGATATCCCGATTCTAATTCGGTGTAAGACATATCCCTGTATTTTTTTTTAGTGTGTGGGTTAATGTCGAACAAACAAGGAGAAAAAAAAAACCAAAACAAATAACTTGCGAGTATTTGTTATTTTTGTTTTCGCCTTTTTACATGGCCGACACACGCACACACTCAAGGCCTCACCGCGTGTTGGCAGCACTATGTATATGTATGCGTGCGTGTGTGTTTTTGTATATATATATTTTTTTTAATAACAATTTTTGCGCCTCTCTTGTTTTTCACTTTCTCTTCACCGTTTGTCCTTCGATTTAGCTTCTTCTTGCCGTTTGTCTTGTTCTTGAACGAAAAGTTACGAAAGATTCTCTGCTGTTGCGTTTGCTTTTATTATTTGCATTAATTTTTGTTATTATATGTAACTTCACAGTGTATATATATAAATATGCGTGTGTGTGTACCGGCGGCGGGCAAAGCGTTGCGAGGCAGGAATTAGAACGCGATGCGGGGAAAGTGAGTTATACAAGTATTTTTTATTTATGGTTATTAACTAAGTAGCGCTCGCTTTTCTCTCTCTCGTTTTTTGCATATTAAATGTTGTTTCTCTTTTTCGATTTTGTTGTTTTTCGTTATTTTTTTCTGTTAGCTCTCTCAACACGCACACCGTCTGTTCCGTTCCGTTTTGGCGAATGTGCCACAGCTTTTTCTACCGCAAACGAAGGAGCTTTTAGCTGCTCTGAAAGTTTTTTGGTGGCAAAAAAAAGAGTAAACAGCTGATTTTGACTTTTTGTTGTTGTTATATATTTTTTTTAAATTTTTGATGTGGCCAAACTGTAACGAAAATTTGAAATTAAAACGAATTAAAAATGAAATTTAAATAATTAAAGGAAAAAGAATAATAAGGATTATAAATTAATTAAAATTTAATTATATCTTTATTTTATAATTTCCTACAGCTTAGTACTTAATTATTAAAATATTAATAATTTTATGTAGTCCCGGAAAACACATTAACGAAATACAAAAATTAAAAGCAATCGTAAATAATAAAAAAAATTATATTAATTTTGCATTTAGATTGTTTTATCATTTGCAACCATTTAGTTTTTCATAAAAAAAATACAAAAATATAAAATTAAAAAAATAATAAAAAAAAAAGAATGCTGACTCAATTTTGCATTAGATTTTTTTTTATAATTTTCAACCATTTAGTTTTCAATACAAAACAAAAAATTGTTCATGGATTCCTAAAAATATATATATATACTATAAATATTAAAAAAATCTGTACAGTTTCACCATTTCAAAAAATATATATACCCCTTTATTATTTTTTAACAAAATATCATAGAGTTTTATAAATTTATTTATTTCCTTTTCAAAATAGTTAAAAATACTTTTCATTTTGTAATACCAAAGCTTAGATTCTTCCTAGTTTCTTTGTCCTATAAGACTTGATCTTTAAAAGCAAGCTATAAATTTATACAACTGGACAGAGAACTATCCCTATAAGGCCAAGAGTCTCTCCTTAAATGTAATCTTTTTTTTCTATGACTCTACACCTCATTAAAGCCGAACATACTTAGTAATCTCGATCAGCGACGTTTGGGGCTCAATGCGATAAGCTTCTTTCGCTTGCGATCCCTGGAGATGATCTCCATGCGCTCCCTGGTGCTCGTCTGGAAAAATATCAGATGCAGAGTGCGGCTGGCCGAGCAGAGCTGAAAAAAAAAATATATATCAAATGCATATACATTTCTTATGATTTACTCACCTGCTGCAGCAATCGCGCCTTGAGGCGCAGATTACCCGGCTCCTCCGCCTCCAGATCCTTGCCACGAGTCTCCAGGTGCAAATTCAACACAAAGATCAATGTATCCCGGATGGTCTGCACAATCCGCTGGACTTGTTCCGTTTTAAAGAGGCGACGCAGCAGATAGCCCCTTACAGCGGCATTAATCCGCGTGGCTGCCCACTCGCGTTGCTCCTGGACGAGATCCAGCTCGAGATTATCTCTTTGTTCCTGCGGAATTTCCGGTTTCTGAACGAAGAATTTGGAATGTGAAAATTAATTCGAAAATTGTTGTTTGTACAGCCGGTATTGAGTTTTTTGTTGTTTTTAGTAGTTTTTTTGTTAGTAGTTAAAAATTGGTCCCAGATTTTAAGGCACATCGGTTAGGGCTTCTTGCGCTGCTTGGGTTTAGGAGGAAGTGGAAACAATCGATAGAGTAGAGAATATACAAAGATACATTGGGTTTTATCAAAAACATAAGAGATTAATTTAGATTTATTTCTATATAAAAAATTTGAAATTTTTCAACAAAAATATTTTGGAAAAAACTTGATTTTTCAAGGAAAATTAAAAAATGTACATTTATCTTTAAAGTTTTATCGGAAAAATCGATATAAACAAAAAATATGTATATCATTTTATCAAATTTCAAAATAAACCAATTATTTATGGTGTTTTCTTGATTAAAAATTTCAAATATCTTAAAAATAAGTATGAAAAATATTAATAATAATTAAAAATTTACATTTATCTTTAAAGTTGAATCGGAAAAATCGATATAAACAAAAAATAAGGATCATTTTACCAAAATTCTAAAATAAACCAGTTGTTTTCGAGGTTTTCTTGATTAAAAATGTGAAATATCTTAAAAATAATAATGAAAAATATTCATAAAAAAAATAAAATTAATACAAAACATTATTTTTGGTGAAAATCGATAAGATTGTTAGAAAATCTACTTTTTTTTTATCATACAAACTCACATTTTTGATGACTCCCCTCTTTTGAGCCGGCGGAGTGACGACTTTCCCCGGAAAACTCTTCTTTGGACTGGCCATAGTGGAGGAGGTCTTTCTACGGTTAGCGTTAGCTCCAGCACCAGTTGCTCCCGCTCCTCCTCTCGCCGATAACATAGACTTTGTGGATCCGCTTGCCTTTGATTGAGAGCGTCTTCCAGGAGCTGATTTCGTGGCAGCACCAGCAGCTCCAGAAGCTCCTCCAGTGGCCTGCCGCCTGCTATTCGTGAGACTGCTATTCCTTAGCGGCAATGAACGCGGCGTGCTTGGAGCGGTACTGCTCTCGCCCAGAAGCTGCGGCTCCGACTCATAGCCCAGGGAGGAACCAGGATGCGGGCTAAAGAGGCACTTACGGGCCGCAGAAGCTGGTGGAGCGGAATTTGCAGCTAGGAACCCATCCAATTCATGGCAGTGACGCGGCGAGGCTGTGCTGAGGGTAATGGTTCGGCTGGTCGAAGCTGTGGTGGCGGACGAGGCGGTGCTGCTGTTGCTACTGCTGCTGTCGTCACTGTGCCTACTGCTGCTGCTGCAGGTGGTGGTGGTCCTCTCGGGATTCTCCAACTGGGCGCACAGCTGTTCGATAAGCTGACGCTGCTGCTCCTCGAAGGCAGCCTGCATGCGCCGACGCTCCGTCTCCTGGTACTCCATCAGCCTATCCATGGGCTCACGATGGCCGCGCAAATACTGACGAACCCAGCCACGCCTTCTGGCCTCCACCAGACCGTATTTGTTCATTACCAGCTCAATCATTCGCTCGATTTCACGCTCGCGTTCTTCAACCTTTCGAGAGTTGCTCGTGTTGGGATTTGGATTGGTTGGACTGGGCTGGCGCACCACTCGCTTGGCCTGTGACTCGATGGTTTCACGCTGGAAATTAGGACTATAGCCTTGCCTTCGCATATTCTCAACCAAAGCCGGCGAGGGCTCCTCCAGGGTGAAGCTTCTAGAGCGCTGCAAGGTCACAGTTTCTGGCGGTGGTGTTGGTTTGGCCACCTGCGGCTTGAGCTGCTTCTGAACGAAGAATTTGGAATGTGAAAATTAATTCGAAAATTGTTGTTTGTACAGCCGGTATTGAGTTTTTTGTTGTTTTTAGTAGTTTTTTTGTTAGTAGTTAAAAATTGGTCCCAGATTTTAAGGCACATCGGTTAGGGCTTCTTGCGCTGCTTGGGTTTAGGAGGAAGTGGAAACAATCGATAGAGTAGAGAATATACAAAGATACATTGGGTTTTATCAAAAACATAAGAGATTAATTTAGATTTATTTCTATATAAAAAATTTGAAATTTTTCAACAAAAATATTTTGGAAAAAACTTGATTTTTCAAGGAAAATTAAAAAATGTACATTTATCTTTAAAGTTTTATCGGAAAAATCGATATAAACAAAAAATATGTATATCATTTTATCAAATTTCAAAATAAACCAATTATTTATGGTGTTTTCTTGATTAAAAATTTCAAATATCTTAAAAATAAGTATGAAAAATATTAATAATAATTAAAAATTTACATTTATCTTTAAAGTTGAATCGGAAAAATCGATATAAACAAAAAATAAGGATCATTTTACCAAAATTCTAAAATAAACCAGTTGTTTTCGAGGTTTTCTTGATTAAAAATGTGAAATATCTTAAAAATAATAATGAAAAATATTCATAAAAAAAATAAAATTAATACAAAACATTATTTTTGGTGAAAATCGATAAGATTGTTAGAAAATCTACTTTTTTTTTATCATACAAACTCACATTTTTGATGACTCCCCTCTTTTGAGCCGGCGGAGTGACGACTTTCCCCGGAAAACTCTTCTTTGGACTGGCCATAGTGGAGGAGGTCTTTCTACGGTTAGCGTTAGCTCCAGCACCAGTTGCTCCCGCTCCTCCTCTCGCCGATAACATAGACTTTGTGGATCCGCTTGCCTTTGATTGAGAGCGTCTTCCAGGAGCTGATTTCGTGGCAGCACCAGCAGCTCCAGAAGCTCCTCCAGTGGCCTGCCGCCTGCTATTCGTGAGACTGCTATTCCTTAGCGGCAATGAACGCGGCGTGCTTGGAGCGGTACTGCTCTCGCCCAGAAGCTGCGGCTCCGACTCATAGCCCAGGGAGGAACCAGGATGCGGGCTAAAGAGGCACTTACGGGCCGCAGAAGCTGGTGGAGCGGAATTTGCAGCTAGGAACCCATCCAATTCATGGCAGTGACGCGGCGAGGCTGTGCTGAGGGTAATGGTTCGGCTGGTCGAAGCTGTGGTGGCGGACGAGGCGGTGCTGCTGTTGCTACTGCTGCTGTCGTCACTGTGCCTACTGCTGCTGCTGCAGGTGGTGGTGGTCCTCTCGGGATTCTCCAACTGGGCGCACAGCTGTTCGATAAGCTGACGCTGCTGCTCCTCGAAGGCAGCCTGCATGCGCCGACGCTCCGTCTCCTGGTACTCCATCAGCCTATCCATGGGCTCACGATGGCCGCGCAAATACTGACGAACCCAGCCACGCCTTCTGGCCTCCACCAGACCGTATTTGTTCATTACCAGCTCAATCATTCGCTCGATTTCACGCTCGCGTTCTTCAACCTTTCGAGAGTTGCTCGTGTTGGGATTTGGATTGGTTGGACTGGGCTGGCGCACCACTCGCTTGGCCTGTGACTCGATGGTTTCACGCTGGAAATTAGGACTATAGCCTTGCCTTCGCATATTCTCAACCAAAGCCGGCGAGGGCTCCTCCAGGGTGAAGCTTCTAGAGCGCTGCAAGGTCACAGTTTCTGGCGGTGGTGTTGGTTTGGCCACCTGCGGCTTGAGCTGCTTTTCCGCCAGCGCAGGACTAGTGCTGGAGCGCAGGATTTGACCTATATGACCACCTATGCCGGTCTGCTCGAACTGCTGTATCCGCTCGGTGATCTTGTTTGGCTTCAGGCGACGTTCCGGAGACAAGGGCAACGTGGGTGTCTGCATCGGCAGCAGCGGCGTTGGTGGGTTTACCTGAATGGTGGGCACATCAAAGCCCAGAGTTTGCGGTCGCCGCCGCTGCTGCTGCTGCTGCTGTTGTCCCTGCCTGGTGCTGTCATAGATGTAGGTCTGCGTCTGGGACAGACCGCTTCGCGGGCTGGCCATGCTGTGACTGCGGCGAGTGTTGTGTTGCCGCTGCTCCTCCAGCTGCGTGGCCCGTTGGCGGGCCAGCTGGGCCTCTCGCTTCTTGGCGCTTGTCATCTGTGAAGAAAATTCATTGCGCTTTTGATTAACGCTTCACTGCCTCCGGGCACTCCCTCTTCCTTACCAGCGGCGGCAGAATCACCTGCCCGTCCAGGCGGAACAGCGAGGGCTGACCCACATCGGGGCGAACGCTACTGCTGGTGCTGGTGTTGTTGCCGCTGTTCCAGATATCTCCAGCCTCGCCCTGCATTGTCATCGTCAACGACAGCAGCTCCGACATCGCCGAACTGTGTTTGGTAACCAAAAAACCCAAACAGTTTAGAGGGAAACCATTAAAACAGAGCTAAGAAATCCCACTCACCACGTTGTCTCCATTGCTGGGAATGTATGGGGATGTGTGGTGACAATATATTTATAGATGTGAGTGTTGAGTGTCGGAAAACCAAATGAAAACTAAAGTCTAATCAAACGGAAAAGGGGATTTTCAAATGTTGTTTGCAATGTTTTTGCTATGTTTCTGTTGCCATTAGAGATGAGAGCGCTAGCGATGACACTTTAAGCAGGGCTTAGAAATGGCGCCAGAACTTGGGAGTCTGCAAAAAAGCAATATAAAACCGAATAAGCCACAAAAAACACTAAAATAACTAGATAATAATAAAAAATCTTCTTTATTTGAATGTCTCACAGCAACAGAAGCCTGCTGAACAGCAAAACGGGACCTTTTCAATTCAAACAGACTTTTAAAAACGAACACAACCCTTTCTAGAGCTCTCGATAACACACTGTCATCGCAGCAAACAGCTGTCTGTGTGGTATTTTTCTTAGTATATTCAAGATATTTTCACAGGTTAAGATGGGGTCACACTGTTATCGGACATCGAAATCGGATCGGTTGTGTTTTCTCAGTTGTTGTTGTTCTTGTGGCGCGATCGAAATTGTTTGGAGTTGCTGGGAACAAATTATTATCATAATTAACAGCTAAGCCGTTTTGTGGATACCACCAGCTGTGGCGAAAAGTATGCAAAGTCCCTTGCTTAAAATGCGATTTAAGTGTTTTGTTTGTTTTTTGTTAATCTTTTTTTTTTATTTTTTTTTGCCAACATGTGCTGAAGGAATGTGTGTGTGTTTCTTTTTGTGGCTCCCTTTTGCCGTTAATTTCCAGTTTAAGACTTCCAAAAATTGCGTTCTAAATATGTAACGTTGTGCGTGTGCGCGCGAGTGTGTGTGTGTGTGTGTGTGCGAAGGGGGGAGGGCGTGTGTGTGCGTTAGTTGTAATGTCTGCAAAAATCGCCAAATTCTTTGTTTTTCTTGGAGTGCATTAAAGTGACTCAAGCGAAAATCACTTGACTTGGAAGTAGCCCTCCTCCTTCTCCCTTGTTGCTTTACTTTCGCATTAATGAAAAACCGAACGGTACAAGTACAAGGTGTAAGGAAAACAAAAACAAGAAGCGCCAAGTTTCGCACATAGACACACACACGCACGGCTCCGCTCTCACGTGTGCGTGTGTGTGTTGTATATATTCTGCGACGCAATTGAAAAGACATCGAAGGCCAAACAACTTTGCCTTTTATACCTCTTTTTTTATGCCTCGCTTTTTTTTTCGCCCATAGTTGTTGTTAGTTGTGGTGGCTTTGTTATTTTTTGTTGTTATTATCACAACTTCCAAGCTTTTCCATGTGCCTACCTCTCCCTCTCGCTATATATATGTCTCGTCCCCCGTCCTCTCACGCGCGCGCACTCTCCCACGCGCTCTCTGGCCATCTCGCTCGCACGCAGCCGGTGTACGTGAACGGACAACATAAAGAGAGAAAAAAAGACCAGAATATATGTAGAACAAAAACAAGTAAAAACACAGAAAACAGAAGTGTCCAAGAGAATTGTTAATCATTTCACAAGTCCTTGGGGGGAAAGTCGCAATAACATGCCACTTTTCCATGCTGCACAACGCAGTTTTCTTTGTTTTTAATTGTTATTGTTTTTCCAATGACGCCGTCGGCCAAAAATTGAAATTGCAATGCCTGTGTAGGTGTGTGTGTGTGTGTCCGCGCTCGGTTATGTGTATGTGTGAGTGAGACAAGCCCTCAAAAGCAAAAAGGAATAACAACATGACATTTAAATCATTTTCGTTTTCGCTTTCTCATCTTGTTTTTGGTACATTGCCATTTATAAGCAGACAACAACATCCAGTAACATGTACTATTATTTATTGTTGTTATTAATTCTTGTTCTACGCAGCAGTCGCATTTCAAGAAAGGCAAAGAGCTAGAGAGAAGGAAGGAGCCAGAGTGAGAGAGAGGGATAACTCTGCCCATGCGCACAGCTGATCCCAGGACCTGGCCTAACGGTGACTCGATTGTCTGGGGCAAATAACGAACGTTGGAAAACAGAAGCTGAAATCGAAAATCGTAATCGAGAGCGGAAACGGAAGTCGCCTTGTATAAAGGGATCGAAAGCCGGAAGGCAAACCGCCACCCAAAGAGCGGAAACCAAAATAAAAACACTGCAAAAGCAGGTGAAAAGCCTTAAAATATATATAACAAGAGCTAAGCAAAAGCACCACCGAAAAAATGTTCCAAACCCTGCCCCGTCCATCGCAATCCATGCTCCAATGCGGAGCGGCGGCCATCGTCACAGTCATCCTTATGGCATGGTGAGTTAAAAAAAAATATAAATTACCTTTTATTTTAAAGCCTGGAAATTAGGAAGGTTTGGGGTTTTCTTTTTGTATTTTTTAATCGGAAATTGTTACTAAAACAGACAAATAAGCTTTTAATTACATTGTTTCTTATCAATGCGAAGGTTAAATTTAATCTTCACATTTCTGATGTGAATCTTTTGATCTTTTTATGAAATTCAGAGAGCCCTTTTAAAATTTCAATATATTAGGTTGATTTTTAAAGAATTTATAGAATATATTTTATTAATAAGACAACGGATTCAACAGGAAGCTGAAGAAAATATATAAATAATTTTTATGATCAAAAGATCTTAAAAAATATATATCTATAATATATAATTCCCATAAAAATATATTCCCAGGCATAAAAATATTTAATTTTTTCAATTAATTGGGCGCCTTATTCCGCAGATTTCTGGGATATTACTTAAAACCGAAATCATTTCTTTTTCGCTCTAGGAAGCCCATCATACAGTTTATATGTACTTTATAATAAAGCTGAAAGAAAGGAAATCAAGAGAAAAATAAAAAAAATAAAAATAAAGAAATAAAGCAAGAACGTTGTCGTCGCGTGGCCAATTTCGAGCTGAAAGTTGCAATGTTTTATTTTAGGACTAGTATATTGCGGCTCGCACACATATAGATTGTGTTCCACATATGTAAAAGCGCACCGAAATGAAGCTTTTGTGCAAGTGTGCAAGCACAGCAGCGTTCAAAATGATAGGTAGGGATTTTACCTCTAAGGATTCTTGGAATTTTAGCCTTAAATTAATTTCTTATTTATTGAAAATATTAAATATAAATATAAATTTAACCCAAAAATATTGGAAAAATATAGAAAGAAATCCCATTAAATGAATACATATAATTTTTTTTTAAATTTAAATAAATTTATTTTAAAAAAATATATAATAATATAAATTAAACTATAAATATTATGAACTACCTATGAAAAAATACCTTTTAAATTTAAACATTTTTTTTAGTTTAAATAATAAATATAAATATAAATTAAATCATAAATATTAGGAAATACCCCTAAAGAAATACCTCTTAATATTAATATATTTAAACAAAATAATAAATATGAATAGGAAATACCCATAAAAAGATTTACCATGATATTTCACTATTATTTTACATGATATTCTGTCCTATTGACTCAACCCTTGCTGTAGTTGGTCTGCCGGCGATCTTTTTGTACGTGCTTACACCTTCATTTTGGCTCTGGCTTTATATATATAAATATATATATGTATATATATGTACATGCCTCTGTATATAAATACATATAGTATATAAAAATGTCACTCCATGCACAACCACACCCTCTCTCGGCGGTCTGCCTTCGCCCCATTTTAAGCGTTCTGTGTGCGCTGTGTGGCGCAATTAACCAAAAAAAGAATTAAATGAAATTCAGCGAATGAACTGCACGCAGGCATCGTGCATACAATACAGTTGATATTGGGGCTTAACCAAAAGAGTTTCGGATCATTAAGTTATGGTATTTAGGGAATTTCATTGGTAATAAACACCACAAACCCTGCATAATACATTGTAAATCCCAACTAGAGGTGAAGTCATCTTGTTTTTACATTTTGCAAGCTGTTAAAATTCAAGAAATCTTTACTTAACGACGTCAATCGCTAAATGAAAACAAAACAAAATACACAAAAAATACTTTGTGATACGAGTGAGTGATGAGTGGCTTTTGCGTTTGGCAAAGATTAAAAAAATATATGGGTCAAGTGATAGGTGATGGCAAAAACAGGTTCGGCTTGTTTAGTTCTACAGCTGATAAGCCCATAAATACTAAAGTAAACAAAGGAAAGTGGTCAAGTTATGAGTTACCTAAAGAAAAAGCCTAGATAAAACTAGGAAAGAGGTTTAAAAAATATTTCAAAAATATTTTAAAATTCCCTGGGTTAAAAATTGACCCTATTTATTACCTTTATATTTATTTATTAATTCATTAACGACTCTCTGTCTCTTAAATGGAATATCCACTGTAGCCAACAAGTGCATATAAGACCATGTAACGCTGCTCTCTCCGCTTCCGTATCTAAAAGGGGACAATTGTGCGATATTTGCTTGCTGATTTTAGCCTCTAGCTTTGCCACTTCTCTGTATATGCGGGGTTGCATCAGTATCAGTAAAGAAAAAATACAAAAAAAAAAAAAAAAAAAAAAAACTAAATAAATAAATAAAAAAAATCAACAAAAAAGCTACTGACAACAATAACAATGATCTTGTTATGCATTCAATTGCGGCAAAATGCCATAGATCGTCGGGAGATCGCCCGCTGAACCCTCGAAATCTTTCCCTGTCTTCTTCCTCATTTCCACATCAATCCACAAAAACTGCGAATTAGCAGAATCAGTGGAAAAAAAAATACAGCAAGATAATTAATTAGACGCTTTTTCAAGAGCAAAACAAGTCGTCAGCGCGTTTCGTAGGGCGGCGAGGCAAACATAACAAAGTAAACAAAGACCCATAGGCAAAAGCAACAAAATATATTGACAAAAACAAAAAAAAAAACAACGCTATACACAAAGAAAAACAATTGAAAATATGGCATAATTCATTATTATATATATATATTTATATATTTAGGAGATATGATAAAATAATAAAATAAAATATTATAGATATATTTTTAATGGTCCTAAATATCAAGAAAATGTAATTTAAAATTCTATAGATTTTTTTTTTAAATAAACCAATTCATTTTAAAGTTATTTCCATAATGAAATTACTAGAAAATGAACTTATGTGTAATTCAAGGATAAATTCCTTTTTAATCACTTTTCAAAATGAACTTTTTGTTTAAAAATAAATAAATTAATTAATAAATAAATTTCCTAGTTAAACTTTCATGACAGGTAATTAACGAATTCATTTTAAAATTCATTCTAAACTTACATAAACCCAACAAAGTATTAATTCATTAAGTTATTTTTTTTAGATTTAACATAGTTGTGTTTATATTTTAAATATATATTTAAATTTTAAACCTGAAATTAGGCCTATTATTTTTCTCCATCTGTAAAACAAAATCAGCTGATAATGAAATGAATAAATAAAATAAAAAGTAAATTAAAAATAAAAGCAATTCCAGGCCATAAATCATAGCGTCGCAGCCCCCGTAGCTGATAATACTCTCCAGTTCCTGTTAGTTAGAATCCCAAGTGGATCTCTTGAATAATTCATAAGTCAGCTGCTTTGGCTACTGCTGCCACCAACTACAGTGATCACTCCCCATGGGACTTGGTCTTGGAGTTGTTTGGTCTGAGTAATCGGTTGGAGATATGCTTAGAGAGGCTATAGATTAGTGGCGAGGAAGTCGTTGCCTCCGTCAGCTGTCTGGAATTTGTTCATCGTTTACTTTTTGCTTGTATTTCGCAACATCTGTTTTTTTTTTTTTACAGCCAAAGAACAGTGCGTTTTAGAAGTGTATGGTATAAAATAAAACAAGCTTTTAATAGAAAAGAAAATTTGATATAATATAATATATATTATCTAGTTTTTTATATAATTTGTTTATCTAAATTTAGTTAGTTGAAGGTGTGAAATTATTGCATAAAATATAATATAAAAAATATAAGTAAACAAATCAAAATATTTACTTAACGATAACTAAAGCTCTAACAAACAGTGGCCATAGTTTGCCCTCCGATAAGTCTCATTATAAATAAGCAAATAAACAAACAAGTTACCAACATGATAAATAGCCTTGCTTAGAGAGAGTATTTATGGTTAAAATAATTGAGTTCCTTTAGTAAAATAAATGAGTTCATTTAGTAAAATAATTAAGTTCATTTAGCAATATTAACAATTATTTGTAAACCAAAAATAAAACCCAAGAAAAGCAAGGACCGTAATCATTTTTATTCTTTTAATATTTTATTAATAATTATAATTTATTTAATTAGTATTATTAATTATTTAATCTCTAAAAAATAATTATTATTATTTAAAATGAAATAATTATAAATAATAATTATATATATTTTTAATTAGAAAAATAATTATAATAATAATTATATAAATACAGATATATAAAACAAAAAATAAATTATTATTATAATTATTTATTGAGTGTTATTTTTAAAATCATCATAATCATTATTTTTAGAGTGTTATTTTTTCGCTAAAAATAAAAATAATTATTTTTTTAGAGCTTAAATAAATATAAAATTATAATTAGAAGAAAACTCAATATTTAAAAAATTTTTAAGCGTTATATTTTCGCTCAAAGTATTTTTTGAGTTTTTCTATTTTCGTAGAAAAGTCCCTATATCGCCTTACACTTTTGATAACCACTGTCTGTGTGTGTGCAAAAATATTCTGGGGTTTTAATGAAAATCACAAATACCCAAAAAAACAAAAAAAATACAACAAACACTCGCACTCGACCAGGTTTGACCAGCTTTTTTGGGGGAGATGAACTGAAACTGGGTATTGCTTCCTGCTAGAACATGTTTCGCCGATACACCACCGGTTTATTTGTTATTAATTATTGCCCTAAACGTAATAGACATCATCGAGATTCGGGGTTATAGTTACCAGTAGCCACCGAGCCATTGTCCCCATCAGTTGGAGGAGCCTTCTCCCACAAAGTCCACACAAGATTTTTAAACTTTATCTCCCCAAAGATCTAAACGTATTTTTTTTCGTGTGTATTGCGTTGTGTGTGTGGTGGCATTACTGCTGATATTCCAGGGTCCGACCACTGGGCGTACTATTTCTGGGTTTGCTCGGCTATTGGATTTATTGGTCGCGCTGCAGCTTCCGTATTGTGCCCACGGACGAGTTGCGCGGAAAGATTAACGTTTGGCTGCAGAGGATCGAGGATTGGCGTCACAGCAGCCCCAGTATGTTCTGTTTGGTCAGCAGCGGTTGCCTGGGCACGCTGGCGGTGCTCGGTCATCTCATCTCCGGCTCCACATTGGTGCTTACCATACTGGTCGTCTCCGCCCTCGTCTCCACCAAGTACAACTTTAAGCTGCTGAAGATTGAGCACAAGGGTGAGTGTGTGTGGGGGGGTCTTTTGGGTTAAAAAATAATGGAGAAATTAATGCAGAATTTTTTTTATCATAGAAAAATTAATAATTTCATTTAAAATTCATTTTTATTATACATTTATTCATTTTAAAAGCATTTTTAAAATTATTTTTATATATTCTTAAAAATAAACAATAACTTTTAGTTAAAGATAGTTTAAAAAAAAATCAAATTCTATTAAAAATTACTTGAAATAATTATAAGTTTTTATTAAAAATAAATTAAATTATTGTTTATTGATTTTTCAGACTGTAAATTTTTTTCAAACTGTAAATTCATTTTAAAAAATTTATTTATTTATTTATTCTTTATTAATTTTTGTTTTAAATTAAATTTTCGGTAAAAATAAACTTAGATGTAATTTAAAATTAAAATTTAAAATTAAATTTTTTATAAAAATAAATTAAATTATTAGTTTTTTAGATTTTCATTCAATATAAAAACTATACATTTATTTTTAAAAATTTATTTTATTATTTATTCTTTATTAATTTTTTTTAAATTAAATTTTCTGTAAAAATTAAATTAAATTAAATTATTAATTATTAATTTTTAGATTTACTTTCAATACTAAAACTAAACAATTTAGTGAATTTACATATTTAAAAATTATAGACATAAAAATAATACCGAAAATTCAAAATCAAATTAAATTTTACATTCACTTTACTTTACATTTTGTAGAAAAATGATCAAATTCATTCAAAGTTCATTTTTTAAAATTATTTTTAGGTAAAAAACCCAGTCTCTGCATTTAATTTTCAATTTTTAAAGCTCATTTTCCCAAACTAACCCCGCAATAATTTTCTTACAGACTTCCAATGGTCCGAGAAGCTCAACTACAACAACTTGGAGGCCGAGGTGGATGATGAATTCCTGCCCGATGTGAACGAAACGAATCTGTTTGTGCTGGAGCGGGCCAGCGATGTGGCCACCATAAGCTCACCCACGGATGCCAACGATGAGGAGGATGACGAGCGTAGTGACGATATACCCTCCGAGCTGCTCATACCGGATGTAATACCCGAGATTGATGAGCATTCTACGGATGAGGACGATGACCTGGCACCGCTGGCGTCTAAGAAGCAACTGCAGCAGCAGCAGGAGAAGCCCAAGCAAAGCGAGGAGGATATGAACTTCCGGAAGGGACACTTTAAGCGGGACTCATCGCTATCCACCACCTCCTCGTCGTCGGAGGAGAGTCTGTCCAAGGGGCTGCAGTTCCCCGATCACACCACCGTCGATGCAGCGACGCGCAGCAGCAGCAACCAGCAATTGCGCCAGCTAACCGATGGCTCTGATCCTGCCGGCGAGCTACTGGCGCTGGCGGTTAAGACCCAAGCGCAAACCCTGCTGGCCAACAGTGGCAAGCTGCTGCCCAGTTTGGTCTCTGGCCTGGTGCAGTGGGGTGCAGCGGGGGGAGCAGCAGATGCTGCTGCTGCCGTTGCCACTGTGGATGATGATGTCGAGAGTCGGGAGCTGCAGAGACGCAAGGTAACTGCTTTGGACTCGTCCGATGAGAGTGACTTTGAGATACTTGAAACGGATGACTTCAAGTAAAGTATCGGGAGCCGGATCTCTGGTCTGGTTTTATGGATCGGTGTATCCGGGTTCGATTTATGCCGTATTATATATAAAGCTATTATCTAAAACATGCATACAACACAAGCACACAAACACACAGACAGACAGACACACACACACACACACTGTACACTCGGAGAAAGAGGAGTTGGTTTTATGTATAGAGTTTCCCCGGTGGATATCAGTATATAATTTGCTAAACTGATATATAATATAATATATATATATATGAGCTAAAGAAAACTATAATTTACTCTTTTTTAAAATTAAGCCAAATAAATGTTTTCTTATATTTTTTGATTTTTTTAAATTAATTTTTTTAATTTTATTATTATAACTTTTATTTTTTTGTTGTTTTTCTTATGATTTTCTTTTTTAATTAATTAATTAATTAATTAAAAAAATAATAGTTATAAAAATAAAACAAAAAAATTAATTGAAAAAAAAAAAAAAAAACATAAGAAAATATTAATAATAATAACTAATTAATTAATAATAATTAATTAATTATTAAACATTTTAAAAAATAATTAATTTATTTTTATTAATAAATTAATTATTTTTTTATATTTTATTTTTATAACTATTAATTTTTTTGTTTTTCTTATGATTTTCTTTCTTTTTAAATAAATTTCTTTTAATTTTATTATTTTTTTGAATAATTTTTTTATTTTTAAAAATTTATTTTCCTATTATTATAACTCTTACTTTTATGGACTTTAGTTTATATTTTCTCTATAATTTTTGTTTGTTTTTATTTTTATTTTTTTGCTACAAGGAAGGGACAGTAAGCGACATGTACATATATACTACTTGCACACACACACACAAACAAACAAAAACACACACACTTTCACCTAATATGTATGGTTTATATAGAAGGGCGTTAATCTACTTAAAATCTGAACCCAAAATCCAAGCAATTCAAACACCAAAAACAAACAAACAAACAACAAAAATTAAAAAGAAAAATTAATAAGAAATTAAAAATACACAAAAAATCTGGTTCGGTGCTATCTATATATATATATATCTTTTTTTTTTAACATTTGCCATATGACGTGCACAAAAAAAGAAGAAAAAATAAAACAAAAGAAAGTGAATTATAATGGAAATTAGAACTTGGGCTACTTGCACGTTCTCAAGTAAATACACCATATTTTCTTGTTTTTTTTTTGTTTTTGTTTTTCTTTTTATTATTACAATTACTATTATTATTTTCCGCTATATGTAATTTAAGTTTTAATTTAATTTGCGAAACAAAACTAAATGTGATTTTGTAAAAACAACAAAAGAAACTAAAATAAAAATCAAAAAGACCTCGATTTTGGATTTGAGGTCAACTTAGGGTTAGGGATTCACGGTCCTTTCTTTGATGAGTCTTGGTGTCCACCTGCTCCTCCTCCTCCTTCTTCTCCAGCTGCTCTTCCTGCTTCTCCAGCTGCTCCTTCACTTCCACCTGCTCCTCCTGCTTCTCCAGCTGTTCCAGCTTCTCTTCCACCGACTCCAGCTCCTCCTCCACCTCCTGATCATCTTCCGCCTCCTTGCCATTAGTTGCCTTGGCCTTGGCACCCTTGCGCAGCGGTATAGTGTCCAGAATAGCCTTTGTCCAGTCCTGGCCAGCGGCCACCTTGCTCAGCAGCTCAAAAACTACAAGAAAAAACATTAACCATAACAAATTGCAACCATTAATCCCCCCCCATCATCCAGCTTCTCACCATGATAGGTACTCAGCACCGAGCGCGTCTTCATGTCCACGTGCTCGCTTAGTGGCAACCTTGCTGTGGTCAGACCCGCCTCCGTGGCTCGCTGATGGCACAGACCCTTCCAGTGATTGTGATCAACCAGGCCGCCAATCACATAGGTAATGCCCGGCTGCAGCTTATCCAGCACCTGATCCGACTCGCAGGTGAGATAGACCAGCTGCTGGCTCTCAAACACCTGCAAGTGAGTACGATCAAAATGATATGCCACATGCCAGTTCTCCCAGCCGTCGTTTTTGCGAAAGGATTCATGGATATGGCCGTTGCTACGGATGCCCGTAAAGTGCAGCTTGCCGGGATGCGGGCTCCTCCTGTTGATTGTGTAAATGCGCAGGCATTGCTTCACACACTTGGCTATATCACGCTCCTGCATCAGGTCATCATAATCCAAATCAATGGCCACGGAGAGCGCGGAATCGGCGGTTATGACCTGGCGCTTCTTTAGCTCCTTGCGTGAGGGTCCTGTGCGGATGGGCAGACCCAGTTCCTTGGCCTCGCGACGCTTCTGCTTTTTGCGCTCACGCTCTCGTTCCCGGCGCAACTTCCTCAGCTCCGTGTATTCGGCCAGTTTGCGTTGCTTCTTCAGTTGATTTTTGCTCTGCGGCTGACCGGGCGTGGTGCCCGGGCAATTGCTCAGGCTGAGCACAGCGGGGGATGCGGGCACGGGCACTTCTGCGTTCACTGCCGTCTCCATGTGATGAAATTTATGTTTTATTTTCGGGGTTTGTTATAGAGCTGGGAAACTATCGATGGCACTATCGAGGTATCGACTTTTTACCTTTTTCTGAGCCACCATCGATAGTTGTTTGTCACTATCGATGGTGCTGGGCATTTTTGACATCACTGATATTGCGAACACGAGGCTTGGTTGACGAAAATTTTGGTAAGAAACTGCAATTTATTAAATATTACATAATTTCTAATCAAAATGGATTTTTAGATAAACTTAAATTGAACGGTGGTGGTGGCCTCAGCATGGACAAATACTTACGGAACCTTAAAAGAAAAGGTAATTATAATATTTTTATCAACAATGGCAAACATGTTAGTAATGGTTACTTGTATATGTATGTGTACCTAGATGACAACACAACAGATAAAAACAGCTCTGATGAGGAAAACGGCGGAATTAAGAAAGCAAGAGTTGGTAAATCCAAAGTGTGGAATTTTTTCGTCAGATCAAATGATGGTAAGACTGCAAAATGCATATCCTGTGAAAAAGTGTACCGTACTAGCGGAAACACTTCCAATTTGTTTGACCACCTTAAACGGGTACACCCAGCGTTGAAGGTTGGCGATCTTGAGGTGTCCTCGTCGTCAAAGATAGACTCCTTTGTGACTACATGCTATGATACGCATTCCAGACGCAAAGCCGAACTGGACAGGGTGGTCATGCGATACATCACTACAGACATGCGACCATATTCCGTTGTGGAAGATACTGGATTTCGTGAAATGCTTAAAGCTTTTGATCCTCGATATAAATTACCATCTCGAAAAACATTAAAAAATGTGATCATGGAAGAGCAGTATGCAGAAAAAAGAATTAAATTGATGGACATTTTAAAGAAAATTGACTTCTGCGGTATTACTACAGATATTTGGACTTCGGTAGCAAATGAAGCCTTTATAACTATCACATGCTCCTTCGTCACAGAAGACTTTGATCTGAAAACGGCTGTGTTGTCAACAAATAAACTACGATGCGAAACAAACCACACTGCTGAAAACATTAAAGAAACATTACAAGCAGTTTTTGATAAGTGGGATATTTCTGCCAAAATTGTAGCAATAGTAACAGACAATGCAAGCTCAATGATTAAAGCGTGTGAGTTACTTCAAAAGAGAAATATACCCTGCTTTGCGCATACTGTTAATTTAGTGGTACAAGACTGTCTCAAACTAGATTGTTTGGTCCCTTTACTTGCGAAATGTAAAAGCACGGTGACTTACTTTAAATCGAGTACTATAGCATATAAAAAGCTAAGAGACTACCAAGATGGACAAACAAAATATAGTCTTAAACAAGAGGTTCCTACTAGATGGAATAGCGCATATTATATGATTGACAGGATTTTGAAAACGCATGAGGCTATCGGCAAAGTTTTTCTAAATACGTCAAAAGCACCACAACCTTTTACTGTGGACGAATTAGACATACTTTTGGATCTAACAAAATTACTTGCTCCATTCGATACAGCTACTAAACAAGTATCTTCTAATACAGTAGTAACAATATCAATATGCATTCCTATTGCTTGTGGTCTTATGCATACGTTGGATTCCGTAAAGTCAGAACTTAAGTCTAGTGAGGGTCTAGCAGCCTGCAAATTTTTAATGGATAACATTATAACTAGACTTTCGAAATATGAAGAACGTTCGATTACGCGAATTGCAACATTAATTGACCCAAGATTTAAAAAGCAAGGCTTCCGATCTCCATTCAACTCTGGACAGGCCGAAAAGCTTTTAGAGAATGAGATGACACTCTTAAAAAATCTTTCACACGATTCCGTACTCCATGCTGTAGAGCCACCACCACCACTTCAAAACAATCAATCTCAATCCTTATTTAAATTTGTTAAACAAAATATTGAAGAATTGCCCAAGACAAAGAGGGTAGACGCAATTGTTGAGCTTCGACAATATTTTAACTTGAATCATTTGGACGAAAATGTAGATCCACTCCAATACTGGAAGGTAACTATACCAATATGCACTAACCATAAGAAGACATAATTAATAAAATTTCCTTTATTTCAGCATAATGATTCAAATATGAAGCAATTGGTACGTAAATTTTTATGTGTTCCGGCAACTTCCACTGAGTCGGAGCGAATGTTCAGCAAGGCTGGACTCATAATGAGCAAACGGAGGGCTTCGCTGGAGGCAAAAAACCTTGATGCTTTATTATTTTTGCAGAGGAATGCCTGGGTCAACTAAATATTTTCAACTGACTCTAATTTAATTTTTGTTTAAATGAGTTGAACTCAGAAAAGTTCCTTCAGCCTAATTTTGTATTACTTTGATCTCTTATTTTAAGTTGTTATTTTGTTAGTATTAAAGCATTTAATATGAAAAATATAAATTAATTGCTTTTAATAAAAAGATTGTACTAGAAACGATACTATCGATAGTATCGAATTTTCGCTCTGAAAACATCGAAAATATCGAATGGTGCCACTATCGATAGTTTCCCAGCTCTAGTTTGTTATTTTCTAGCAAAACAGCTGAGCTGCGGTAAGTATAATCGATAATCGATGTTATCGGTTCTGGTATATTTGTGGTATATATTTCAAATGGTCACACTGCTTACAGTAATATGCATAATAATCGATAAAGTCGTTATCGGTTGTGGTATATTTTTAAAATGCTCACACTGTGTACATTTAATTTTAATATTAAATAATCTTATTTTATTTTTTTTTGTATTTTTCTATATGTAAAATTGAAAATAAAATTTTAATACCCAAAATTAAAATAATAATTAATTTATTTTAACTTAAATTTGGATTCAAAAGGTTTGAGTCTCCGCTTATTGGCGCCGGCTCCTAAATGGTTCGAAACTTGGAATTTTTATAACAGTTTATACCAGTTTTCAGTTGCATGCTGCTTGTTTCTGTTCGCCTGTTACCCCAGATTGGAAAAAGGCCAATTTGAATGGAATTTTTTGCTCACTTGCATCAGTGATGCTCATCTGGCTATATTTCAATATTTAGGGGCAATAAAATCGGGCAGTGATGCTCATCTAGCTATTTTTTTCACATCAATTGAAATCAATGTGGAATTAATTGGTTAAGGGGGGGGTAAGGTATTTAATTTTAGCCGTTTCGCCACAACATTTTTTAAAAAGTGGTAATTTTTGCACCGAATTAGATTTGCAGATTTGTTAACCTATCTCCGCTTTCCGAATGAAAATCTCAGGCCAAGTCCCAGCGATTTGGCCAGAGTTTTCCATGCAAATGTTCTTGTATCCTTATAGCCCTGCAGGGTATTTTATTTCCAGTCCGAAGCTCATTACGCATTGAAGGAGTCATTTCCGACCCCATAAACCATATATATTCTTGATCAGCATTAAAATGCGAATCGTTTAAGCCATGTTTGGAGGAAATCAAATTTTGAGCCATTTTTGCGAAATGTGATAAGGGGTTACATCATTAAAATTCTCAATTTTTGACCCAAATTTTTTTTTCTAACTAAGTATGCAGATTTGTTAACCTCATAAAAACTAACACAGAACAGTTTTCCGATTTAAAATTAATGCATTTTTGGCCGAGTTATGATATTTTTTAATATAAAAAATCAGATTTTATAATACAAAATAATATTTTTCTAAGTGAAGGAGTCATTTCCGACCCCATAAACCATATATATTCTTGATCAGCATTAAAATACGAATCGTTTAAGCCATGTTTGGAGGAAATCAAATTTTGAGCCATTTTTGCGAAATGTGATAAGGGGTTACATCATTAAAATTCTAAATTTTTGACCAAAATTTTTTTTTCTAACTAAGTATGCAGATTTGTTAACCTTATAAAAACTAACATAACACCGCTTTCCCATTGCAAATTAAGGCTTTTTTGACAGAGTTATGCCTATTTTAGTTTTTAATTTGCTATTTTTCTCATTTCAAATTCCATCGTCATTGCCATCGCCATCGCTCATTAGTACCACCCACCCCGGACAAGAACCAAGGGAAAGGACCAACGACACAGCGATCCGCGAAGCACAAGTTCATCCTAGTCATCATTGTAATTGTTGATTGATGATCATCGAATCGGCGGAGGTGAAGGTGGAGGAGCAAACAGCTGGGATGGCGGAGCTCAAGCGAATGGCAGTGGTCGGATCTTGGCTCCGGGCTGGCTGAAGCCCACCAGGCGTAAAGTATTTAAATGTGTAAATGTAATTGATGGAACAAACAAATTTGAATCAATAAAAAAAGGAAAATCAATGTGGAATTGTGTGGTTTAAGCGGCATTTATTTGGGGGCCTTGGGATTGTTTGGGGAAAAATCTGTTGAAAGCCAAATGTAATTTTTTAAAATTTTTAACATAATTTTCTAAATTTTTAAATTTTTTTCTAAATTTTTAAAATTTTTCCTGAACTTTTAAAATTTTTTACCTTTTTCTTAGACTTTTTACATTTTTTTTAGAATTTTTAAAATTTTTTTAAATATTTTAACTGCCAAATTTGAATTTGAATTTAACTGCCAAATTTGAATTTAAAAATAACGACGATCAGTTTCAGTGTGCCCAGGTGCAGTTAAAAAATAACACGTAAATTTGGATTCAAAAGGTTTGTGTCTCCGCTAACTTGCGCCGGCTCCTAAATGGTTCGAAACTTGGGCTTTTTATAACAGTTTATACCAGTTTTCGGTTGCTTGCTGCTGATTTCTGTTCGCCTGTTACCCCAGTTTGGGAAACGGCCAAATTGAATGGAAATTTTTGCTCACTTGCATCAGTGATGCTCATCTCCATCAGTGATGCTCATCTGGCTATTTTGCAATATTGGGAGGCAATATATCAGGCTTAATGGCAGTGATGCTCATCTAGCTATATTTCTTTATTGGGACAAAATAGCTAGATGAGCATCACTGGCACCTAGTGAGATGCCTATAATTTATAAAAAAAGCCCCATAACTCGGCCAAATATGGATGAAATTCAATTTTGAAAGCTGTTCTGAGTTGCCCTTTCTAAGCTTAACAAAACTGCATACTAGGTTTTGAATTTCATGCATTTTTGGCCGAGTTGTGTTGGTTCACATTTTGATAGGTAAGTATTTTAGCAAAACTGAGTATGCAGTTTTGTTAAGCTTAGAAAGGGCAACTCAGAACAGCTTTCCGAATTGAATTTCATGCATATTTGGCCGAGTTATGAGGGTTTTTGTAATTTTTTGCTTATATTTTTAATAAATTATAGGTAAGTATTTTAGCAAAACTGAGTATGCAGTTTTGTTAAGCTTAGAAATGGCAACTCAGAACAGCTTTCCGAATTGAATTTCATGCGTTTTTGGCCGAGTTATGAGGGTTTTTGTAATTTTTTGCTTATATTTTTAATAAATTATAGGTAAGTATTTTAGCAAAACTGAGTATGCAGTTTTGTTAAGCTTAGAAAGGGCAACTCAGAACAGCTTTCCGAATTGAATTTCATGCGTTTTTGGCCGAGTTATGAGCTAAATAGCAAAATAGCTAGATGAGCATCACTGGCAGCTAGTGAGATGCCTATAATTTATAAAAAAGCCCCATAACTCGGCCAAATATGGATGAAATTCAATTTTGAAAGCTGTTCTGAGTTGCCCTTTCTAAGCTTAACAAAACTGCATACTAGGTTTTGAGTTTCATGCATTTTTGGCCGAGTTGTGTGTTTCACATTTTTATAGGTAAGGAATTTAGCAAAACTGAGTATGCAGTTTTGTTAAGCTTAGAAAGGGCAACTCAGAACAGCTTTCCGAATTGAATTTCATGCATATTTGGCCGAGTTATGAGGGTTTTTGTAATTTTTTGCTTATATTTTTAATAAATTATAGGTAAGTATTTTAGCAAAACTGAGTATGCAGTTTTGTTAAGCTTAGAAATGGCAACTCAGAACAGCTTTCCGAATTGAATTTCATGCGTTTTTGGCCGAGTTATGAGGGTTTTTGTAATTTTTTGCTTATATTTTTAATAAATTATAGGTAAGTATTTTAGCAAAACTGAGTATGCAGTTTTGTTAAGCTTAGAAAGGGCAACTCAGAACAGCTTTCCGAATTGAATTTCATGCGTTTTTGGCCGAGTTATGAGCTAAATAGCAAAATAGCTAGATGAGCATCACTGGCAGCTAGTGAGATGCCTATAATTTATAAAAAAGCCCCATAACTCGGCCAAATATGCATGAAATTCAATTTTGAAAGCTGTTCTGAGTTGCCCTTTCTAAGCTTAACAAAACTGCATACTAGGTTTTGAGTTTCATGCATTTTTGGCCGAGTTGTGTGTTTCACATTTTTATAGGTAAGGAATTTAGCAAAACTGAGTATGCAGTTTTGTTAAGCTTAGAAAGGGCAACTCAGAACAGCTTTCCGAATTGAATTTCATGCATATTTGGCCGAGTTATGAGGGTTTTTGTAATTTTTTGCTTATATTTTTAATAAATTATAGGTAAGTATTTTAGCAAAACTGAGTATGCAGTTTTGTTAAGCTTAGAAATGGCAACTCAGAACAGCTTTCCGAATTGAATTTCATGCGTTTTTGGCCGAGTTATGAGGGTTTTTGTAATTTTTTGCTTATATTTTTAATAAATTATAGGTAAGTATTTTAGCAAAACTGAGTATGCAGTTTTGTTAAGCTTAGAAAGGGCAACTCAGAACAGCTTTCCGAATTGAATTTCATGCGTTTTTGGCCGAGTTATGAGCTAAATAGCAAAATAGCTAGATGAGCATCACTGGCAGCTAGTGAGATGCCTATAATTTATAAAAAAGCCCCATAACTCGGCCAAATATGCATGAAATTCAATTTTGAAAGCTGTTCTGAGTTGCCCTTTCTAAGCTTAACAAAACTGCATACTAGGTTTTGAGTTTCATGCATTTTTGGCCGAGTTGTGTGTTTCACATTTTTATAGGTAAGGAATTTAGCAAAACTGAGTATGCAGTTTTGTTAAGCTTAGAAAGGGCAACTCAGAACAGCTTTCCGAATTGAATTTCATGCATATTTGGCCGAGTTATGAGGGTTTTTGTAATTTTTTGCTTATATTTTTAATAAATTATAGGTAAGTATTTTAGCAAAACTGAGTATGCAGTTTTGTTAAGCTTAGAAATGGCAACTCAGAACAGCTTTCCGAATTGAATTTCATGCGTTTTTGGCCGAGTTATGAGGGTTTTTGTAATTTTTTGCTTACATTTTTAATAAATTATAGGTAAGTATTTTAGCAAAACTGAGTATGCAGTTTTGTTAAGCTTAGAAAGGGCAACTCAGAACAGCTTTCCGAATTGAATTTCATGCGTTTTTGGCCGAGTTATGAGCTAAATAGCAAAATAGCTAGATGAGCATCACTGGCAGCTAGTGAGATGCCTATAATTTATAAAAAAGCCCCATAACTCGGCCAAATATGCATGAAATTCAATTTTGAAAGCTGTTCTGAGTTGCCCTTTCTAAGCTTAACGAAACTGCATACTAGGTTTTGAGTTTCATGCATTTTTGGCCGAGTTGTGTGTTTCACATTTTTATAGGTAAGGAATTTAGCAAAACTGAGTATGCAGTTTTGTTAAGCTTAGAAATGGCAACTCAGAACAGCTTTCCGAATTGAATTTCATGCGTTTTTGGCCGAGTTATGAGGGTTTTTGTAATTTTTTGCTTATATTTTTAATAAATTATAGGTAAGTATTTTAGCAAAACTGAGTATGCAGTTTTGTTAAGCTTAGAAAGGGCAACTCAGAACAGCTTTCCGAATTGAATTTCATGCATACTTGGCCGAGTTATGAGGGTTTTTGTAATTTTTTGCTTATATTTTTAATAAATTATAGGTAAGTATTTTAGCAAAACTGAGTATGCAGTTTTGTTAAGCTTAGAAAGGGCAACTCAGATCAGCTTTCCGAATTCAATTTCATGCGTTTTTGGCCGAGTTATGAGGGTTTTTGATAAATTATAGGCATCTCACTAGCTGGCAGTGATGCTCATCTGACTATATTGCAATATTGGGACAAAATGGCATCTTACTACATGCCAGTGATGCCCACCTAGCTACTTTCCACTGTTACCCCCAATTTTAAGGCATAAACAAAGGATTTCATATTCTTTCTTTATTTTAATAAATATTTGTTGATCGTACAGAAGTTCTACATATTTTTTATTGAGCAAATTAACTAATCTAACAAAAAAAAAAAAAAAGAAAAAAAAGGCTAATGTCTTAGAAATTACATAATATAGATGGATTAAATGAGGAATGATGGTCTCTCTCTCTCTCGCCCGTTCATATCACATGGGAGAATGGTGGATGCAGTGCCTCCTAGAAGCGGGTATTATCCGGCATTTTACGGAAATAGGCAATCTTATCCTTGGGCACGCGGTAGCCGTGCATCCAGCGGCTGCCTTTGCGCAGGGAGCCATCGATGCCATCCTTCCACACGCCCTGCGGCAGGTAAACTAAAAAAATAAAAGTAAATTAATAATAAAATATTACATAAATACAAAATAAAGACGCCTTACCCTCTCTCTCTTCGCGACCAGCATGCAGGATGGGAGCCACTATGAGCTCCTCGCCCACGGAGAACTCATCGCTGACAATAAGGCAGGCAGGATCGTGGGGGTCCATCATCCACAGGGGACGGACCAGCGGCAGGCCCTCGTTCATCGACGGATTGAGATACTTCTTGAGCAGGGCTATCACCACCGTTTGGCGCACATCCTTCAGCTCCTGGGCCACTCGGGTGACCAAATCATTGCGATACTCCGATGGCAAATGGCTAAACTGCATGGCCGGCATAAAGGTGGCCAGCTGGAGCCAGCGGATGAAGAGCTCCGGATCCGGCAGCGGCGGTTGACCCAGCGAATAGAACGAAACCATTTTGGAGAGCGGCCGCTGCAGCAAATAATCACCGCCAATGACACCAGGCAGCACGAAAGGATATCCAATGACTCCATAATTTAGCACCGCAGCCAGGGTCTCCCTCAATCCCTCCCAGGTGGCATTCGCCGGCGGTGTGCTCAAGAAAGTTGGTGGCTTGGGAACCACACTTGCCGTGGACACGGCCATTAGGCCGGCACCCTCCAAACTCTCGGTGAAGAGCCGGGCATAGGTATCCGGGTTATCCAAAGTCTGACGGCACTGATAGTAATGCGGCAGATTGTAGCCAGTGCCCAGATCCAAGTAGAAACTCTGCACTCCGTACTCATCTCGCAGGCGCTGCAGCTTCTCGAGGAGCCACGGCACTGAGGCATTATTGGTTATGTCCAGGACACCGGCACTGGAGCTGCTCTTGTAGCGCGTCAATGCTGGTATGCTGCGCTCCGAATGCCGCTCGTAAATCAGCAGCTTGCGACGCACTGCATCCTTAAAGTTGGCACTATCCGTGCTGATGAACGGCTGAATGGTGAGCACCACCTTGAAACCGCGTCGATGCAGCACATCGATGGTGTCCTTCATGGTGGGAAACCGGGTCTTGTCCACCGTAAAATCACCAATATTCTCCTGCCAGAATTCGTTGATCAGGATGTGGCCAAGACCCATGGCAATGGCACTCTCCGAGTAATCACAAATGGCTGATTCATTCAGGGATTCGGGGGTCTCGGCGTGCGGTATCCGCCACACTGGCTCCTCGAGCAGCGAATGGAGAACTTTGAACTCCTGCTCCTTGAGGCCGTCCCACAGGCTTTGCTGGGTCATCAGCATGTGCAGGCTGCGCATGTCCTCCGTCGTACAGATGCGGTAGTCTAGCTGCGGCAGGGGGGTGAGGCGGTTCACGAAGGTGAACTCATCGTTGGCCGCTCGCAGGCAGAAGCGATTTTCGGTGCGGTTAACGCCCAGCTGGAGAGGCGTCCGTTCGTTTACCTGTAAGAGGGGGAGAGAGAGAGTGTTTAAATTGGGGCATATAATTTCAGTCAGAAGCTAAAAACTAATGGAAGGAGTCATTTCCGACCCTATAAACCATATATATTCTTGATCAGCACAATCAGGCGGGTAATTTTAGCCATTTTTTGAAAAAAAAAAAAAATTTGGCCATTTTTCGAAATTTTGATAAGGGGTTACATCATTAAAATCTTGAAAAATTGAAAAAATTTTAATTTTTTTAAATTTAAAATTAAGTATGCAGATTTGTTAACAGCATAAAAACTAAGATAAACCCGCTTTCCGAATGAAATTTAATGCATTTTTAGCTTAGTTATGAATTTTTAAAGTTTTGCTTTTTGTCCCAAAAAATAATCAACCAAAAATGTAACCTTTTTTTTCAATTTTTAAAAATTTACAGAGAATAAATTATTAAAAACCTTAAATTTAGTATGCAAGTTTTTAAAAAAACACAAAAATGTTTTTCGTATTAAAATTAAAGTTTTTGACTTAGTTATGGGTTTTTTTAAATTTTAAATTGTTAAAAAATTTAAACAAAAAATAAAGACAAATATTTATTTAAAGAATTCAATTATTTCTGGTCTTATTTGAGGGTATTTTAGTTATAGTTCGTCAAGAAGTCATTTCCGACCCCATAAATCAACAGGCGACGCGATCTAGCATGGCATATAAGAAAAACAATTTTTTTCAAAAAAATCAAAATTTTATAAGGGGTTACATCATTAAAATCTTGAAAAATCAAAAAAATTTTAATTTCTTTAATTTTTAAATTTAATATGCAGACTTGTTAACTTGCTAAAAACTAACTTAATGCAGTTTTCCAAATTGAAATTAATTAATTTTTGGCCAAGTTATGAAAATTTTAAGTTTATAATATTTAAGTATTAGAAATAATAATAAAAAAAATAAATAAAATAAATATCTTTAAACACTGTGTTTGATAGGGCCTTAAAATATTTAAAAAATATATTTATATATTTAATATATATTATAAATATATTGCTTCATGATCAGCATCAATTTATTTATTTATAATTTTATTTGTTTTAATTTTTTTTATTTATTTATAGTTATATTTTTTATAATTTTATTTTATTTTTTATAATTTAATTTGATTTATTTTATAAATTCATTTGATTTATTTATTATTCTACTCCTCTCCCTCCACTCACCTGCATGGCCACTCCAATGGAGTTGATAAAATACCGCTTCACTCCATTCCCAAACTGATGCACCTTGCTGTCCCCGGAGGCATACGGTGCAAAATCAAAATTGGCATAGCTGAGGGACCACTCCTGCCCCTTGGTCACTCCCCCGCCGAACCACAGGCCATTGTCCCGCTTGAGTTCATAGCAATCGGTGGGCAGGAGACCCGGGGTAAGGGCCTGCCACTGGAGTGTGTAGCACCGGAAGACGCCCTTGTCCTCGAAATTCAAATGCAGCCGGGCAATGCCATTCCATTCGATGCACACGCTGCCATCGGAGCGACGCTGCTCCTCCAGGCAATGAAATGGTGCCGTATCGAAGCCCAAAGTGACGCCCAGTTGCCCGGATATCACCTCCTTATCCTCGTGGCTCAGTATCCGGAAGATGCGATCGTGTGAATTGAATTTGATCTTCTGGAAGTAACTACGAGTGAGCACCTGCTGGTGGTAGGCCACATAGGCGTAGCCAATCTGGAAGGTGGAAGAGGGGAGATTTAATAAAATATATATATTTTTTACTATCTTTAAAATAAGAATTCCTCTAGACAAAACTATCTTATCTTTTAAGAAAAATAAACCTAGGTTTAAAATGCCAAAAAAATATTTGTTTGACATGTTTGAAGGCTTTTTTTAAGGGAAAGATGAAGACAGAAAAGTTGAAGACCGAAAAAAATAAAGACATTTGATAAGCAAACTCAAAAAACCAACTCAAGGCCTCCAAACTTAACAAAGAATTATGTCAACTTTAACTATTAATTATAGACCTTATAATCTACTTAATATTATAAAACTTAGCATACACTCACCAGAAAAATGATAATGAAAAACATAATGATAACAAAGATCTTGATCTTATAGTCCTTGGTCTCGCGCTTCTTTTTTCTTATCAGCTGGGGAAAGGCCTGCAAAAGAGAAGAAATATTATTATTATATATTTAAATATTATAAAATATTGAAATATATTTATTTATATATCTTAATCACCTGCATCTTCTCCCTCAGTAAGCTGGCCAAGGAGTTGACACTGGTTATGGATGCCTGATTGGAGGCCAGACTGTGGCTATCAAAGTCGCTGGCCAACATCTCCTTGCTGTTGAGCCGCAGAGCAGGCAGAGGGGCAATTGAGGCGCGTCTTCGACTTCGAAAGCGATCGCTATGGGGAAAATACATAAATATTTAAATTAAAATTTACAAAAATTAAGATTTCATTTGAATAAATAGGAAAATTTATAACAAATTAAATTAATTAAATATAAAAACATTAGAATTAAATTTTAATAAATAGGAAATTATATAAATAATAAAATTAATTAAATATACAAGAATTAAGTTTTAATTTTAGTGAATATATATATTTAATAAAATTAATATTTTTCTATTAATTTATTTTAATTAAAAATATATATTTATTATTATTATTATTTATATTTATTTATTATGATATTTATTTATTAATTTATTTTAAATCACAATAATATATATTTATTGTTATTATTTATATTTTTCTAAATTATAATATTTATTTTTATTTATTTATTTTATATTTATTTGATATATGGGAATATAATAAAAATTATACAAGCTGAGCAGACAAAACATCATTTATGAGCTGGATGATAAGCAGGGTTTTCGGTCTATGTGTGTATATTCATATATATATATACTGCTCTAAAGTCAGCTGATGAAAAAATATAGGAATCACTTAGAAAACAAAATGTATTTACACTTTAAAAATTATGTGAAAGTTGAGACATTTTTTTAAATATTAAAAATATATATTAAATAATAAAACGATTCTTAAACTGTCTTTGTTACAGACTAAAAATATTTAAAAAATATTTTAAAAATACTTTATATATCAAAAATCAAACCAAAAAATATTAAAATATTTTAAATGAATTTTAACCATAAAGACTCCACTAGAAAATCCCCCCGTGAACTTGCATTGCCTTCAGGGCCAGCTTATCGCATCTTATCGAAGCGGAAGACCCCCTTTCAGAGCTTTGTTTACATAACACACTTAGTTATTTTCCCTTCTCTCAAAATGCAAATCACAGAGCCAAAAAATAATATTATTTATAAAAACAAAAAACCTTAAAAAACTCAAATCTCAGCATTGCCACTCTCTATAATTATATGGGACTTGTACTTGCTTGGCCTGATTTATTTGCTAAAGTTGATAAGCCTCGACACGGCTGGTAAACACGCCTATATAGCCGATATATATATACGTATATTTGTGGGTTTATATTGTAACTGAAGTGTTATTATTGGTATCTTGTACGGGTTACACGTTACACGTTGCTGGGGATGTGCTATCACGCCTAATCACGACCATCAACTGAAAGCTGTAGAGGTCCGTTTATGTGGCACTCGCACTTACTCCCAGATTCAGATACAGATGCTCAGATACAGATACAAATACAGCTACGGATACATATAGCCCCAGATCTCCTCCTCCTCCTCCTCCTCCTCCTCCTCCTACGAAAATTAACTTATCAGATTGGAGACCCCGCCGACGTACTGCCTCTGTAATTCCCTTAAGCAGTTAAATTGCTCCGATCGCGTGTGTGTTATGTGTTGTGTGTGTGTTTTTGTCGCTGCTATCTGTATGGTACGGAGTTTTTTTTTTTTTTGAGTAATCTGAGAGATATCAAAGGGGATTAAAATATCTGATGGGTTGATGTCCTGAGAAAAAAATTAATAACAGGGTTTAAGATCTCTGAAATTAGGGAGGTCGTGGTTTAACTTCTCATTAATTTTGCTTTGTAAAATATTTTAATGTGACCTTATTTTCTATTTAATTTTTAAATTTATAAACAAATCAAAAGCCCAATTATTTCCTTTTAAATTGTATTAATACCTGGGTTTTTTTATTTATTTAATTGTTTATTTAAATTCCAACAATCAAGGTTTTAAGCATTTTAATCTGACCATATTATTTATATATAAAAACATATATATGTATTCTTTTTTAAATAAATGTTATTTAATAAAAAATATGAACAAAAACCCCAAAATGTTCTATTAAATTTTTATTTATTCTTAAATTTACTTTAAATTATTTCAAATCCAATCTTTAAATACATTTTGAAATTTTAATATTTAAAACGAAATATACTTATATTTTAAGATAGCTAGTGTGAATCAAGCATAATTGACACGAAACTTAGGCTTTCGCTTATGCGTAGATCACACTTACAACAATTCTGAGAAAAAAAAACATAATTTAAATAAAATGAGCGGCTAAAGAATCTAACTTGAAGTTGCTATGCATTTTTTACAATAATAAAAACAATAAAACAAACTGATAACACAAGGGTTCCTGAAAATAGCTGGTTTTAACCAGCTTTAGGTGCTATCGGAAGCGGTTAGTTTGTTTATAGTTTGAGTAGGTTTTAATTGTTAATTTATAAAATATGTTGTAGTTACTTAGTTATATACATTTAGTATTAATTTATTTTCTATTTTAAATATTAATTTTCCATATTATTATTATTAAATTTAAAAGAATATTTTAAATTAATTATTTGATTTTTTTTAATTTTTTATTTAATTATTCTAATTTTTTAAATTTCTTGCAATATAAAAAATATACAAAATAAATGTTTAACGATAAATATTGTCTATAGCCTTTATAATATATAAATAAATAATTTGTTTTTTAATAATAATATAAAAAAATAATTAAAATTCTTTAATAAGTTTTTTAAATATTTTTTTTTCTCTAAAATATAAATAATTAATATTTTTAAATATATTTTTACTGAAATTCTTTACTTATTCCAACAATCTTTGTTAAAAACACCTATTTAATTATACAAAAATATATTTAACATTTAAATAAATACCTAAAACCACTATTTAATATTTAAATATTTGTAAAGACAATTAATATATAATTTAATTTGGGTTTTTCTCTATATGGTCAAGTGTTTTGGTCGCTACCCCCACGAGATTGTGTGCCGTAAATTACGTTTATTGAGCCAACACTTTCCCGATTCCATACAAGTTGTGTGCCAGGTGGAGGCGGGGTAGAACAAATAAAAAATTGAATGAAAAATCACAATAAAATTAGCATTGGGCGGCAGTAACTGTAACTGATAAATCCCGGCTGGCGGGGAGGGGCTTATCACGGGGCGTGGAATGTGGCGGGAAAATAACGAATAGCACGTATAGCCCCCCCAGAAAGTAGAAGCGCCGACACATTACAATTAAATTACTGTCAGAGCAGAGCAGAGCGACTTTCAATTAATTAATCTAATTGCTCCGATGAATCAAGAATTCAAGAATTTTTCATTAAACAAGATCCTGTCGGTGAGTGTTTGAACTTTAAGGAATCAAAAGATTGACTTTAATGGGGCTTTTCAGTAAATTAATAATACAAATAATGGGGAAATATTAGTCATTAAAGAATTGTTTGTGAATATTTAATTTTGGGAAATTATATTTAAATTAAATAATAAATTATATTAAATAAAAAAAAAATAGTAAAAGGGAATTATTATTATTAGATTATAGGAAATTATTTTTTAATTATATTATATCGAATATTTAAATTATAGATAAATTATATTAATTAAAAAAATAAATAAATAAATAAAAAATAATTATAATAGTGGGGAATTATTATTATTTGATTTAAGGAAATTATTTAAAATTATTATATTATTATATCTAATATTTATAATAATTTATATAATAATTTTAATAATAATAAATGTATTTAAAATTAAAGAATTATTTTTCAAAAATTTTTGTTTAAGGAAATTATTAAAGGAGAAGTTATTTTTAATATTTTATATTATAATATATATTTTTTTATAAACTAAAATATATTTTTTAAATTTCTTTTAAAATTTTTAAATTATGTTTTATATTGGTTTGCATATTTTATATAATTTATTATCTTTTTTATATATTTAAAAATATTGTATAATTTAATGTTGCCAAAAAGCTTTTAAAATTTTGATAGAGTTTTTAAAGATAAGATTTAAAATTAAAGAATATTTTTAACATTTTTAAAATTATTAATTAATTAAATTAAGGTTGATCTTTAATTTTACATGAAAATATTTGTTTGCTTTTGTAAAATATAAAATAAAAAAATATTTTAAAATACCCATATATCTTAATAATTTATAGATTTCTTTCTATTATACAATTTTTTTGTATTATTACTTTAAATGCTAATTAAATTTTCTAAAAAACTCACCGATGAACTGGTCGCCTGGCATTCCCAAACTCATCGTCGCTGTCATCGTTGGCACTTGCATTGGCATTGGCGAAATTGATGGAACTGCTGGCCTTATCCGGCGTATTCAGCGCCGTGGTTGTGGCCGTTGGCGTCGGTGTGCCCAGGCTGGAGGCCCCATCATCGACTATCTGGGGGAAAAAAAGAATAAGCAACACTTACATTATTATTGTTATTATATATTATACACTATATATACTATAGGGATTTTAGCGCCTTTAGCAAATTGATAAAGCAAACAGCAAACAATTGTAACTGAGCTGCGGACTCTGGTCTGCTTTTGGCACCTGCCAACAAGGTAAAGGTGAGTGCAATTAGCGCAAAAGCGTCACTCGAGCCAAGGTTCCACTTGGCTCTCCATAAACCGCAAATCGGTGTATATATTATATATAATATATAATATCAAACCGTTAAGTAGTACCTGCCTTATCCTTATCCAAATCCTCACTGATATCCACAATTATATCGGTGTCAAAGTCTACATTTTGGGGGGTTTTTTCGGGGGAGGGAAGAGGATCAGCTTTGGGGACACTCGACAGGATAAAGCGACTGCCGTTGGGTGAACTCATTTTTGTTTTTATTTAATTTTTAAAATAATTTTTTTAAAATAATTTTTTATAATTTTATATTTATTTTTTATATTTAAACTTTGGTTTTTAATATCACAGGTTTTTTTTTAAACTAAAAAATAATAAGAGTAAATATAGAAATTATTTGGAAGGGAAAGCTTCAAGCTTAATTATATTAAAGGGGAATTATTTAATTAAAATATTAAAATATTTATTATTATTTTTTATTATTAAAAAAAAACTTTGTTATGTAAAATATAACAGGGTATCAAGAAAATCCACAGATTCACAAATAAATTAACTTTTAAAGTCAATAAATCACTTGTTACACTGTCCTGGTTTTTGCCATAAATATTAAACAATTTTTTTAAAAAAATTATACAGGGTATCAGGGAATAAACACAGAGAGAAAGAGAGAGAGAGCGAGACAGGGACTGACGCTTGACACCACCGCGATCGCACTGTTTAACCGTCGATAATTGCCGGATCGCTATTGCCGGAATATTGTTTTTGAAGCCGCAATTTATGCGTTTTAATCGCAACGCTCTCTCTGTGCCGTCGTCTCTGCCTCAGTCGACGCTGGCAGCAGCAGAGCGAGCACACTCGAAGAAATAAACAAGTAGGAAAGTTGTGGAAATAAAAAGAGATATCAGAACGAAAACAAAGCAAAGAGTCGCTCTCTATCTCTCTTTAGCTGTGGGAATATCATTTTGATTTAGATTCGGATGGAGATTGTGATTGTGATAGAATTACCCGACAGTCGTAAATTAATTGTAGCTGCCCCTTGCTGACCCCCCCCCACTCCCCTTGATTGGTTGGGTTTTCTTTGAGGCTTTACGCGATTTTTTCCCCGCTTAAATTAGGGTTTAATGGTGACTAAAAATATTTATGCATGCAATTTAAATATATAAAAATTTTAATATTTTATATAAACATTTTAAAAATTAAATACAAAATATCTATTTATTTTTAAATAATGTAACACTTTTTTAAATTTGGAAAAATTAGTAAACTATTGTTAAAAATTTTAAAAACTAAGTCAAAATATCATCAAACTAAAAATTTAATAACTCGGTCAAAAATTAATGAATTTTAATTTGGAAAGCAGTTCTGTGTTTGTTTTTAACAAGTTAACAAGTCTGCATATTATATTTAAAAATTTAAGAAATAAAATTTTTTTGATTTTTCAAGATTTTAATGATGTAACCCCTTATAAAATTTTGAATTTTTGGAAAAATTTTTTTTCTTATATGCCATGCTAGATCGATTGGCTTGTTGATGCTGATCAAGAATATATATGATTTATGGGGTCGGAAATGACTTCTTGACGAACTATAACTAAAATACCCTCAAATATAACCAGAAATAAATGAATTTGAATTTGTTTAATTTTTTGAACAAATTAAAAATATTTAAAAACCCATAACTAAGTCAAAAATATATTAATTTAAAAACATTTCTAGACTATTTTTTATAGGGTTAAATAACTGCAACGATTGAGTTAAGTGCTCTTTCCTTTTAATACAGAAAATATTCATGCATAGCATACTTTTAGGCTGCTGACCATATAAGACCACACTGCGTATGTGTGTTATTTTAGCGCGACAGCTTGGCAAAATCACACATACGCCGCATTGGCCGCCCGCCGTCTTATTTGCAGCTCTATAATTAGCGCAAGTCATACACTTATTTCACTTCATCTTTCTTTTTTTCTTATTTGATTAATTTGCTCACCAGCCGTCACACTGACAATGATGTTTGACTAGTTACAAAATAATAGATAGAATCTCCCACGCGTGGCTGAGATGCGATAATACCTGATGCGAATTGGTGGCCCATGAATAATGTAAATTTATATATGTATATATAGTACATATATACCTGGAATCAATCACTCTATAGCTTAAAAAGATCTTGCTCTCTGAGGCATATTTATTCACAATTGTTAACATATTTTATTTGCAGTCTTGTCAGAAAACCAGTTTTAGGCTTTAAGTGGTTTTTGAACTCAAATTAATTAAGTTATTTAAAATGATAACACAATTTGTTGGCATAAATATGCATAATGTTAAAATGATACAGAAGCTTATAAATTGAATTTAGAGCATTTTAAATGGGAATTTTTAATGAAAATTTATAAGATTATAAATTTTTAAAAATTAAAAAAGAAGCTGTACTTTCTAACTTTTTATTAAAATTTTTATTAAATATAAATTTGTATCATCTACTTCAAGGAATTAAAAGTCATAAATCTGTTCTAAATTCATTATTTTTATCGTTTTATTTTTTACCCATTTAATATTTTTATTAACTCAACAAAATTAATTAAATGTGCTAAAATTATGGGAACCTTTCTGTACCTATAACATCATCATCATGTGATGGCACTGTTTTTGGGGTTTTGTGTCACATGTGAAGTGTTTGCAAGCGTACTATAATTAAGGCTCAATTAACGGTTGAATATATGAATATTTATATATATTTTGGTGATTTTTTTTTGCTGTAAGAGAGAGAGAGCAAGACTAGACGCTACGTTTAAGTACACATTGTATTTTAATTTCGAAACTGGTTTGCTGCAATTATTAAATATATATATGTATATATTTATAGCTCAAAAAAACATTAAGAACACGTGCTGTAGGTGAATGCCCCGACCTTTACCTCAGCCTGTTGCATACAGGAAGTATTTTTGAGATGAACTTAAGCCTATATATCTAAAAAAATTCCTATTAAATATTTTTAAAAAACTTGTAAAGCTTCTAAAATTATTTATTTCTAATAAACAAAATTATGGTATATTTAATTTCCATAAAAGTGTACCATTAATTCCCTTTAAATTTCCTATTAATTTCATATTAATTCACTATTAATTCTCTATTTTTTTTATATTAATTCCCAATAAAATCCTTATAAATTCAGTATATATTTTTTAGAAGTTCCTTAATGATTTCCCATTAATTCCTTATTAGTTCTTAAATTATTTCTTATTAATTTTCTATTTATTCTGTATAAACTCCCTTCATGTTCCCTAAAAATTTCCCATTAATTCCCCAATAATTTCCTATAAATTCCCCAATAATTCCCTTAAAAATTCCCAATAATTCCTTATAAATTCCCTATTAGTTCCCTATAAATATCTCATTAATTTCCTTTAAATTCCCCAAGAATTCCCTATATATTCCCTTTAAATTGTGTCCAGTTTAACCCCCTTAAAAAAAAAGCAAAGAACTCACAATCTCCTCGTGCAGGGCATCCTGTGGCTGCATCTGATGCCTGAGACGCAGTGCCTCCAAATCCAGGGCATTAATGCCCGATGGCATTGATATGGAATTGCGTCGCAGTCCCGGGGCAAAGGCCTCCGAAGGTGACGGTGTACCTTTGTCCACAGGTGAACTCCTTTCCTCCGGCGTTCGTTCATTGATCATCCGCAGGTGCGGCAACTCCACATTCCTTCGCTCGCTGAGAGAGAGCTTTCTGTCCAGCAGCTGACGCTGCTCGGGTAGCTGCTGTTCCTGCTGGGCTCCTGGCAGTTCATCCTCCGAGTCGGCATCCGCGTAGGTCAGCTCCGGATGCTGGCCATTGAGCGCCTGCGCGGCGGCGCCCGAACTAGAACCGGGATGTGCCGATGACATTCCCTAAACAAATTATCCGCTTAACGGCCGCGAACCTGACGCGATCGCGCTCCACTGGCGAATGAGAAAGGGTTTGAAGCGTCGCCGCGAAACCCAAAATCGAGAAATCGAAATGGAAATCGGCGGTGAAGGGGAGGATGGAGGCAGGAGGGGAGGTTCGATTGCCATCGCTGTTTGCTTTTAATCAGCGCTTATCATCGCGGACCAACGATAATCGCACACCGGGGCGAAAAAAGCGAGTAATTAATATAGGGTTGATCGATCATTTCAGGCTTACATAAAGTGTTGTTTTTATATAGTTAGTATATATAATATTTAGTTTATATATTTTGTTTTTCATGTAAGGTCTGGTTTTTATTTTTATGTATTATTATATATATTTTTTACCTTATATATTTTGTTTTTCTTATTTGTAAATGGGGTTTGATTTTATTTTCTATTTGTAGAGAAGGGGGGAAGTGCTTTTTTTTCGAAATTTAGATTACAAATTCATCTTTAGTTTTTTTTTTAAATGTATATATATTGAGCTACATATTGTGCTTATAAATATATTAATATATAATGTTAATATCATTTTATGATTGATAATCTAAAAAAATGATTTTACTGGAAAAATCACTAAAATGAATACTAGAAAATACATATCTATTTTTTCTAAATTTTTAATTTTTTTTTCTAAAATTTTAAGTGTTGGTTTAAAATTAAGACAGAAATATCAATTGAGATTTCTCTTGTTAAATAGAATAGAATAGCAAATTTATCATTTTTTGTATGCTTTCTTTTTTAATATAAAAAAAAACAAACAGAAAATGGATAATATTTTAATTTCGGCGGAAAATCCATTCAAATTGAAAAAACTATTTGTGTAAATTAAAAATTTATTTTACCCATAACATAACATAACATAAAAAAAAACATTTAAAATACGTTTTCTGTAAATTTATTTAATTTTATTATTTAATTTTATTTTATTATTTTATTTTATTATTCTTTTATTATTTTCTATTTGTTTTATTAATTTATTATTATTTACTTAATTATTTATTTATTTCTTATTTTTTATTCATTTATTTTGGTTTATTTACCCCTTAAATCAATTTAAAACTCTTTTTCAGAGTGTATTTATTTATTTTCAAGCCTTTAGCTCACTGTTATGATTACGCAGATATTTTCTGATATTTTGGATCCGCAAAAATCCCTTTCTTCTGCCGCCGTTTGAACTCTGCGCCAGCCCTGCTCTCAGCCACTCCTATTGATTCAGTTAATTAAATTCGTTTTTTAGCCGCAAACAAAATCCGTTGATCGCATTTGTTTGCCCAGCTAATTAGGCGCAATCTCTGGCTCTCTCCTCTCCCATTCTCGCTCTCAGTCCCAATCTTCCCTACAATTCTCGACCTTGTTTCAGCAATGAGCATACAGTAAATATATATACAAATAAAATTAATCAACTGACAAGAGTCAAGAGCTAAAAACTTGTTCGTCTGCCGATCCGATCGATTCCAGCGACACAACAACAACCGGGAACAAGCAGCAAGCGGTTTTTAATAATTACATATGTTACCTGATAAGGTAAACAGAAAACCCAAACAATTCCACCCACCCACCTTTCCCATGCCCCACAATCTTCCAGTCCCCATCACGGGGCTGAATAATAAAACTAATTCGCAATATTGTTTAACAAATTGCACTCATAAAAACTCTCTCAAAGTGGGCAAATATTTGACGATACGATGGCAATATTTATGATTAACGCAACAGGAATAGGAAGAAGAGGCGGCAAGTGTTTGGTACTGGAATAGCTGGAATAAGTGAACGCTTCCGGCTAAACGTTGGAAAAAAAACAAAATAAATAAAACGAATGGAGGGGGGAGGCCTGGAAAAAGTGAATACTTCCCGGTTGGAGTAGGAAAATACAAAATAAACTATTAATAATATTAATGACTAATAAATAAACTAAACTAAAACTTATGGAAGAATGGCACTAAGTGTTTAAAAGGTTAATAAATCTGCATACTAATTTTATAAAATAGCACCTCCCAAAATTTAATAAATTTGTATATAATATTTCTTAGCTTCATAAACCAGTATCTACTGTACCCGAAACAATCAGACTGAATCACATATAATAAAACGATTTAATGAAACCGGCATAACCATTCAACATTTACGAGCTACTGATAAAAATCCACTACAGTAATGTTAAAAATAAAATCTAATCAGTCAAATCGAAAGGAGATACTCTAGTTTTTGCCTGAATTAATCTAAAAATCTATAAAAATATAAAGATTTTAAATGAATTAAAATCGAAATTTATGTAAATAAATATTTTAAAATTCAATTTTGATCACTGAAATTAGCAATCCAGAAAACGATGTAAAATCGGATTTCGATTGCGAATAAAAACAAATAATAATTTGTAAGCCAGGCACGAATCGTGGCCAAAGTCGATAGCCAAAGTTGGTCAACTCTCTGAACATGATATTATTATAATGCGTCTTGATATGGACAGCAGATACAACCATTATATATATTATTTATATTTATATAAATATATTTAATATATATATAAATAATATTTAAAATAAATATATTTAATATATATATAAATAATATTTATAAATAATATTTTTTAAAAATACTATTTAACCTGAAAACTTTTTAAGACAAATTCAGCCTTATTGCCTATCGAATTTTTCATAATTTCCCAATTTTATTTTTTGAATACTTTTACAATAATTAAATGTTCCCTTAAAAAATATTTAACATTTTTAAAATATTTTATTAACAATGATAAATGCTCTCCAAAAGTATACTATAAAATTTCACATACAAAATGCAGCAAAAAAGCTGTCGTTGCTGAGATACTTTTGTGCTTTTGCCTTTGTAACCTCTCGGCTTTGTCTTTATTTGTCTTTGCTTTGGCTTTGCTTGCTTTCTATCGCATGCAACAAATGCAGCCTGTGACGTCATCGCCGACAAAATGCAAAAGCTTTTGTATTGCAAACACACACACACATATATATGGAAGCACATGTACAATCGCGTTGCAAATGCTGCATTTGAATAGCATAGCTTATACAATTTTTATTGCAATTTTTGCTGCAGCTGTTGTGTTTGCTGTTGATTTTTCTTTTTGCGATACCCTGTATGCGACAATCGGTTGGGTAAACGGGGTGTATAGGGATTTTAAATCAATGGTTTTTTAATAATAATAAAAAAAAAATAATACAAAGTAATAATAAAAATATATATAATAAAAAAAGAATACTAATACAAATATATGTAAAAATAAACTTATTTAAATGAAAAAGGACTTATAATAGAAGGTAACAAGTACAAAAGTACACAAGTCATAGCATACTTTTTCTACATATTTTGTATTATATTATTTATTATTTTATTTATAAAAAATATATTTAAATATCTAAAGAGATTTATATTTAATATAGTTTTCCATTTTCCAAATCATAAATATTTCTAAATCATTTTTTTGTATTTTTTATTATTACAGGGTAACAATTAGTCATCACACCCTGCTCAAAACCCACCGCCACTTGTTGTTGCTGCTGCCTGCAGTACGCTTAGCTGACTGGCGTGCCAGCATAAAGTGTTTGCGCTGCAGCTTTTGTTGCTATTTGCTATTTGCAATTGGCAATTTGCGCGCAGTTGGTTTTTCACGCTCAGTTTTCGTTGCGCGGCCGCTGCGAGCAGTAGTAGTTTATTGCTGTTGCAGTGCATTATCCTACACATTTTTTTTTTTCATTACCCCCGTTTTGCGACGCCTCTTTTGCCTTGGACTCACGTACCCGTGCCGCTCCTGTGCTGTGATTTACCGTTGCATCAAGACAGATCGCGACAGAAGGGCTTAGTAAGAGAAAAATAAAGAGAGAGAGTGAAGCACTCTCTCGAAAGGCATGTGCTGGGCCGCAATGGCCCGCAAGGACGATCCCGTTTTCAATGTGCGCTTCGTTCAGTTCGTCGAAGGCGAACCTTGCCTGTGGAATTACACACACCCCGGCTACAGCAAGAAGGAGGAGGTTCAGCGTGCCTGGCAGCAGGTGGCCAATGAGATCAAGGACACGGGTAATAATGGGGAAAGCTCTCTACCTTACCGCAGAAACTCTCCCTCCAATCGTTTCCTCTGCTTCCTACACGCTTCCAAATTGCGTGCTCATTTTGTGTTTTGTGTGTGTTTGAGTGTGTGCGTCTATGATGCAAGCTTTTGTGCATTTGTGACTGTAATTTTTTGACGTCTCTTTTTCAACGTTTTTCTTAGTAGCTGTGTGTGTGTGTGTATGTGTCACTGTGTCGCGCAGCCTTTGCTTTTGCATTTTGCATTTGCCGCAGTCAATTAAGTTTTCAGCAATTGCTGCACTTGGCAAATACACTGTAAAGAAAAACATGAGCAAAAACAACTAAGAAAACTGTTTTTAGCCCAGTCTCAAACCAGCAAGGGAGAGATGGATGAACGACTGAAACTTCTTTTTTTAATAACTCCCATGTTTATCAAGGAATTATCTTAAAATTTAAGGAAAACCTTCGTAATTAACTAGTAATAATTAAAATAATCCATTTTTTTAAATCAATATTTTTTTGTTATAAAATTTTCTAGTACGCAACTGCCGCGAACGATGGCGCACTATCCGTAGCAGTTTCCTGCGATCCCTGAAGCTGGCTCGCACACAAACTGGTCGCGGCAAGCGCAAGTACTACCTGTCCAAGTATCTGCAGTTCCTCATACCCTACACCAAGTCCCGATCGTGTCACAAGCAATTGACACCCACCTCCCTGACCACCACTGGCTCGGCTGCTGGGATGGTGCTCCGGAAGCCAGGTAGCAATCCGTTTCCCTTGCCGGCGGACCAGCTGGAGGATAACGAGGAGGAGGAGGAAGAGGAGACCAAAGAAAGCGGGGACGAAATGCCATTGGATGTGCAGGTTTCCGAGGAGGAAGAGGAGGTGGCAGTCAACCAGTCTAGGGAGGAGCATCATCAGCAGCAGCAGCAGCAGGAGGATCAGCAGCATCGTGCCCCTCCCACCGCCTGTTTGCCACTGCGCCTGCAAGCCATCAAAGTGGAGCAGCCCTCGCTGCACCCCCCACCCAATCCCAATGCAAATCCCCAGCTGGACAAGATCGTGGCCCATCAGTCGCTGGTCACTGTGCCTGCTGCTGCTTTGGGCAGCCACATGGACTGGCAGGATCTGACGCATTGGCTTAAGGGCAGCACCACTGCCGTGGGCAATCACCATCATCAGCATCACCATAAGATATCCACGCCAACGCCACCACCACCGCCGCCAGTGACGCCAGCACAGGGAGGACTGCCACCGGGTTCTATGCCCATGGCCATGCCCATGTCTATTCCCTCGCCCGACGCCGACTACTCCTTTCTGATCAGCCTGCATCCGTACCTCAAGGAGATGAGCGGCAAGCAGAATCGGCGCTTTCGCCAGAAGGTCGTGGGTCTCATCGACAATGTCCTGGACAACATTGATGTCTAGGGATTTTAGAGGGAACCAGGAGAGCACAGAGGATAAACGTTTAAAAATTGGCTTATGTGAAAAATTAATACGCTTTAAAGGGAAAAGTTAATTATTATTTAAAATGTTAACTAAAATCAGCAACAAATTGCTTTAAAAAAATAGATATGTGTATATATATTTAAATATATATATATATATATATATTTAAATATGTATATTTTTAAAATAATTTAATTAATATTTATTGGAATGCAAAATTAATTAAAATTTTTTTAAATATGCCATAAAAGAAAATTGCTTGTGAAAATATGCCCAATTTAATTAAGTGTTCCCTCTGCAAAAATAATAAAAAATAAGAAATTAAAAAAAATAAATAAATAAAAATATTTAATAAAAAAAATTATTAAAAAAAATAATTTAAAAAAAGAAAAACACACCCAGAATAACGCCAACAGTGCCCATTTGTTATATGTATGTATGTATGTCTAGTATGTAAATTTGTATTGTGCTATTTGTTGTTAATTAACAAACAATAAACACAAAATTGTTAAATGTAAAATAAAATTATTAAAAAATTAAGTAGCAAGTTAAATTATTTGAAAATGGTTGTTTTAAGAATTATTTTTCTTTTTAATTTTATAGCTGTTTTTATTTGCTTTAATTTTTAAAATATTTTTTAAATATTAAAAATTTTTATATTTAATATATTTCATTTATTAATTTCCCTCTTATTTTACGTATATTTTAAATTAATATTTAATATATTCCCACGATAAGCTTTTGGCTATTTCTTTTTTCTGTTCAACTCTAGCTTTTTACCCGCTGCCCGCTAGTGCTATCGATAGGCGATAACCGTGCACAGCTGATGACCGATAGCCAAACGGCGAACATTCGAGCATTTGTTTTTGCGGCTATCCCTTTTTCGAAGGAAAAAAACACACAAAACAAAAACAACAAAAGACAGTCACACGGAATTGGAATACTTAATAGCAAAAATGGAATAATTATAATTAAAGCTGGCAGCAGACAACAACAACAACAAACAAGAAGAGTTAAATGTGTCAATAATTGCACATATACATATGCAACTTCGCGGTTGGGTGAGTCGATGTGAGTGGTTGCCATGTGCTCGACGTGCGTGTGCGTGTGAGTGCTTGTTGGGTTTTTGTTTTTGCTTTTGTTTTTTTTTTTTGTTGTTGTTTTTGGCTTATTTCTTTGCTACGAACGTGATGTAATTTCGGCTCGCGCTGATAAGCCGCAAGTCAGTTGAACGGCGACTGCTGTGCCAGTAGCAACGCCAAATTACAAACTTTAATTTTGATTTTTGGTTACATAAAACAAACACACACTAAGACACACACGCACACACACGGTTTCCTGCATTTCTTTTTGGAGATTTATTTTAGGTGAAAGTTCTCCCCCCCAGTTGAGTTTTTTCAGTGATTAATTGTAGACCTTTTTCCCCCAATCTCAACCACAGGTTGTGACGTCTTCGTCGCTGCTTCTGCTGGCCCGGACCCGGCCGCATCGTAACACTCGCCTTTCCACAAGCACAATGAACCAATGCCAACGCCAGCTAACAACAACAACAGCAACACCTGCCTCAGTTGTTGTTCCCACGAAGAAATCGCCACATCTGTTTACTCTCAAAAAGAAGAGCATGTCGAGCAAGTGTCCAGAGGATTCATCGGATAAGAAGGATGAGGAGCATCCCCAGGAGCATCCTAAGGAGCATCCCCAGCATCATTCCAAATCGTTGCCCTTGGAGGTTAGACAACGCATCGAGGAGCGTCAACGACAGGCCTTCGAGTTCTTCTCACAGACCCTGCAAATCTATGGCGTGGAGGAGCTCATCTTTTGCTTTAACGGCGGCAAGGATTGCACTGTTCTCCTGGATCTGTTGATGAGGTATCTCCGCCAGGAGGGCATCTCTAGTGGTGACATTCCCATGCTGTACATCAAGTCCGGTGATTCGTTTGTGGAAATTGATGATTTTGTGGAACGCTGCGTGACCAGCTACCGGGTGAAGTTGGTGGAGTACGAAGGATCGCTGAAGGAGGCGCTCACCCATATGGCGGCGGATATGCCGCGGATCAAGGCGGTGTTTGTGGGCAGCAGGAATACGGATCCATATTGTGAAAATCTGGCGCCCATGCAGGTGAATATGAAGTACTAAAGGGGGACATGGAGAGGTCCAAGTCTGCTTTGAGGTATCGATTGAGGTTTTTTTTTTTATAGAAAATATTGTAAAGGTATCGATAAATATGCGATGTTATTTTATTTAATTTTCTGTTATTTCATACGGTAAATATCTTAAAGAGAATATCTTTTAATTGCTCATTTTTAAACCTCAACGTTATAATATTGATTTGTATGCAGACTTTCGAATCAAATATCGATATGGTATCGATATATATAGGTTTTTTTTTGTTATTTCTAAAAAGTACTTGCATTGTGTAGAAAGTAAACGGTTTTTCTATGATGAAATGAAAATTCAGCTTTTATAAAAATCTGCAGTATGCAAGACGCACTATTCGCATGCATTGCTCTAGAATTCTCAACTGGTTCTAGTCGTAGCTTTGCTAAAAAGGCATATACTGATGAAGAAAGGATGTCTTCCTTTCACTTTCTTTCTTAATTTTAGGTAAGTAATAATATTAAACCCTATTTTTTTATGGATAAAAAATAATTAAATAATAAGTAAACTGAGGTAGGTAGTGTAGGGTAGGTACAATAGGCCCTCCAATCAAAGTCATATCTCTATGAATCAATGTCCAAGCATGAAAGTATAATTTTTTTATATTTTATAATCATCATACTGATATTGCTTTTTGTCAATGTCACGTTGGTATGCCACAGATAACACCTTATTATACGAAAATGGTTTTTATTTTGATTATCTAACCACGCTTAAAAACTTACAAGTATAATTAACCACAATGTGAGCAAAAGTGTAATTATTATTATGATTTTTTAAATTATGAAAGTTGAGTTATATTACGAGGTATATTAGGTGTATTAGTTTTAAGAATTATTGGGGGTAAAATATTAAATTAAATTACTAAATTTAATTAAATAAATCCTTATATTATTTCTTTACTTTAAGTATTTAAATGAGTAGAAATTCCTTCCTATAAACCTTCAATTTCTGAACTTTTTTTTACTATTTCCCTCTCACTCTTTGCCATTTTGCAGCCCACGGACAACGACTGGCCACCGATGATGCGTCTGAATCCGCTCTTGGAGTGGAGCTACCACGACGTCTGGCACTATATTCATCTGAACGATGTACCCTACTGCAGCCTGTACGATAAGGGCTATACCTCCGTGGGCAATCGCTCCAACACGATTCCCAATCCTCATCTGCGACGTGATGATAACTGTGATTGCAACACCGTCGTCAGCGACTGTGATTTGGTTGAAACGGTCGGCTATAGGCCCGCCTGGGAACTGGAGGATCCCACCCTAGAGCGTGCCGGTCGCCTGCCCAGGAAATAGTAGAGTGTCTGTGAAATCTCCTCCAGAAAAAAAAAAAAAAAAAAAAACACTAATAGAAACCCCCCTGTGCCTGTCGCGTGGCTGTAGCGCAATTGTTTGTATAGCTTAAATTCTAGTTAGTCACAAATTTTGTATATATACGTACTAAATAGAAGGTTTTTTATAAATATAACGATGACTTGATGGAAAAAAGTGCTTAAATTCGTGGGAAACCAAGATGTAATTTCGTTATTCCTCACTCTGTACTTAAGTGCGCTTTAATTTAACTAAATTAACTGATAATTTCATCATTCATATGTAAAATTAACGTATCCCAAATATGAAACTATTGTGGTGTTATCTATCGGAATATAAATTCATTACTGAAATGTGTACAAGTTCGTAAATACTTGTGGTTTTTATTTCATTTTAACACTATTTAATTTGTATTGTATTAACGGTACAATAGCTTTTTTGAAGAGTTTTTTTTATTATTTTTATTCATTTTAAACAAATAAAATATAATTTATAATAAAAATATTGATGGAAAAATAAAATCATGTATTTTATTTATTAAAGGTTTGTTAAAAAGTTATTTTAATAAAATCTTAACCACATTTTTTGAGCTTTAATTAATTATAAATCTAAAAATCCCGCTAAATCTTAATTTTATAAATCTAAAACTCCCGCTAAATCATGATCACTCCCAATTTTCTAGGATAACTCACAAAAATATAACGTTTTAGAAAGAAGAATTGATATATTTAAATTTTGAATTAACTAAAACTTGATTGAAATATAGCTACAAAAAATTATAAATTATAAATAAAACAAAACTTGATGAAAATATAACTAAAAAACAAAAGTACGTGCTTATAAAATATATGTATAATATATATTTATATTTATTTCAGCAAAATTTCGAAAAATTATATATAAATAATTTGAATAAATTTTTTTTTTTTCAGTTCCATTATAGAAACTATAAATTTCTTAAAAAAAAATATAGTTATTAATTATTTAAAAATTATATTTTTACAAATGTTTTTATTTATTTATTTTTCTTTTTAATACAATTTTTAAATTTTAATTTTTTGGAAATTTTTAATAATTTTAACAAAAAATGTTGAAAAGAATAGGTACATTTTTTTCTAGCAGACTTGGCTAGATTAATTAGGCTGCTGATCAATAATATTTATCATTTATAGGGTCGGCAATGAATATTAAAAAAATAAAACCCACAAAAAACATAAAAACAAGCTATAAAATAGCTCACAAATAACAGACACTAAAAAAATAGCCAAAAACCGTCGATGTGGCATCACTAAGGTGGCATCACTGACCGGCCTGAACAGCTGATTTTGCCGCTTGCACGTAAAGAAGAAGAGGAAGAAGACAAAAACAACACTGGGGAGCAGCAGCAGCGGCAGCGACGTTTCCTCAAAGTCGTAACATTTTTCACTCCGCTCGACGCTATATTTTCTGTACGAGAGAGATTCCCGGGATTTACGTAACCCCAAGCAGACGGAGGCTGATCTCAGCGAAGACATCATCGAGTTTCGAGTGATTCACCCACGCCGAGCAGCAGCAGCAGCAGCGTCGTGGTGGTGCAGAAACCGGAACACAAAGCAATGTCGCGATCCGCTCAAGACATAGCAGCGCTGCTGCGCGGCCTGCGTCTGGTGGCGGAGGCATGTGGGCGCGATCAGCTCGCCCACGGTCGTCACCTTTGGAGCAATTCGAGCATACGCGACCTGATCGTTGAGAATGCCACACAGACGGCGGATTCATTACGCAAAACTGGCCAAAATCCTACCGAGGAGCTAAAGAAACTACAACAAGCTGTGCTGGAAACTGGAGAGCGTGGCTACGTGGTGGCCAAGGGATTGTGTTCGCTGTTGGAAACCCAAGTGAAGATGTCGCAAAGTGAGAGAAGCAATGAAAATCATCAGAAATCAACATCATCATCACCAATAGCTTCATCTGTAACTGGAAAATCTGTCACACGCTCCGATTGGGATGCTGCCAACCTGGATATATCCTCCATAACCCTTCAAGAGTTCGAGGAGATCCTCCAACGACGCCACAAGGATCGGAATGTGAGTCTACGCACTCCCACCACCAAAATCAGTCAGAGTCAAGCTCTTAAAACCCACGAGGAAGTCCCAAAGGAGTCTTTGAAGAAACCCAGCGAAGGACTCATTGAAGAGGACACTCAATATGTGGACAATGTCTTGCGATTTGTGGCGGGAGCTCAACCCAAAACCAAGGGAGAGACCTCTCCTAAAACCCAGACAGAACCCATTGATGTGCCCGAACTTAGCAAAGTGGCCAAGCAACGCAAAGTTCCTTCGTCCCGCCTGGGTCGCATGGCCTCTTTTGGTGGCCTGTTTGCTGGCCTTGGTATTGGCACCCTCAACGAGCTGACCAAGGGTGCTTTGGGTTTGGGTGGCTCCACCAGCATGCGTGAAGCTTTACTAAGTCCCGCCAATGCTGAACGCATTGTGGACACTCTGTGTAAGGTGCGAGGAGCTGCTCTAAAGATTGGACAAATCCTAAGCATCCAGGACTCTAGTGTGGTCTCGCCACAACTGGCCAAAGCCTTTGAGAGGGTACGCCAGGCGGCTGACTATATGCCCGATTGGCAGGTGGAACGTGTGATGAACACCCAGCTGGGTCCCGAGTGGCGTCAGCGTTTGAGTCAGTTTGAGGATAAACCCTTTGCCGCCGCCTCCATTGGACAAGTGCATCGGGCCACCTTGGCTGGCAATGGCATGGATGTGGCCATTAAAATACAATATCCTGGCGTGGCCCAGAGCATTGAGAGTGATATTGATAATCTGGTGGGCATGCTCAAGGTGTGGGATGTCTTTCCGCAGGGTTTCTTCATCGACAATGTGGTGCGAGTGGCCAAAAGGGAGCTGCAGTGGGAGGTGGACTACGATCGTGAGGCGGAATATACGGAAAAGTTTCGGGAGATGATTGCGCCGTATCCGGAGTACTATGTGCCGCAGGTGATACGCGATTTGACCACATCGAGTGTCCTCACCACTGAACTGGTGCCGGGCGTTCCCCTTGACAAGTGCTTTGACCTCAGGTGAGTGCAAGGTGGATGGAAAAAGCCTGCTTAAAATAGGTTTCTCCTCTGTTTTTTGGCAAAGTAAATACTAGGGATCGCAAATAAGAGTTATAAGTGAAAAAATGAGCTGGAAAGATGACAAATTTTAGGTATATCTTATTTTTTGAAGGAGTTTTCAAAAATAAGTTAAACTTTTATTAACAATTTGTATTTGTTATTTAAAATTTTAATTTTTAATATTTCGAATAATTATTATACTTTTTGTGTAAAAAAAGTTTTAAAAAATATATATTTTTTTTAATTTTTATGACTTTAATTTTTAAAATAATAATTAAATATATGTTTTATTTGAAAATAAAAATTGACAAATACCTGAAATTTTGAATTTTTGTAAGTACAAAATTCAGAATTATATTTATTTTTAATTATTAAATAAATAAATAATTTAAAATATTTGTCCAATTTTTATTTAAAAAATTTGAGAATTATTTTAATTTATTTGTTTAATAACAATAATTAAATTCAATTTTATTTTATATGATAAGAAACTAACTCTTATCATATTTTTATTTAAAAAAAATTATAACTGTTACGATCCCTGGTAAAAACCATCTAGAGGAACCTCTCTACCCTATTTATGTCTTAAAAAAAATTCTTTTAATTTTCCCCCAGCTATGAACATCGCTCCCACATCGCCGCCTCTGTCCTGAAGCTGTGCCTACGCGAGCTCTTCGAGATCGAGTGCATGCAAACGGATCCCAATTGGTCCAACTTCCTCTACGATGCTCCCAGTCGACGGCTAATGCTCATTGACTTTGGTTCAACGCGGTTTTATCGGCACGAGTTTATACGCAATTATCGCCAGGTGATCATGAGTGCCGCCGATGACAACAGACAGGGCGTCTTGGAGATGTCCCGCCAGATGGGCTTCCTCACGGGCTATGAGACCAAGCAAATGGAGCAGGCCCATGTGGATGCAGTGATGATTCTGGGCGAGATCTTTCGATATGATGGGGAATTTGATTTTGGAAAGCAGAATACCACCGAGAGGCTGGCCGCTTTGGTGCCCACCATGGTGGCCCATCGTCTGTGTCCGCCGCCCGAGGAGATCTACTCCATACACCGGAAGCTTTCGGGGATCTTTCTGCTGTGCGCCAGGCTGAATGTTCGCCTCAACTGTGTGCCCTTCTACAAGGATATCGTGCTGGGCAAGTTTAAGGACTAACGTTGGGGGAGATGAATATATTGCTGAACAAAAAATTGTTAACCTTTGTTTTATTTTCCTAATTTTTTTTTTTACTTAATAAAAACATTGAAAATGTAATGATGGAACTGGTTAAGGGAGACCTAAGTGCCTTGTTTTTTGTATTAAATATTAAATAGTTAATCCTTGCAAATATTGTTAAACAAAGACAGGTTAATAAAAATTGTTTAAAGTATTTTATGTATATATGTATTAATTTTTTGTTGGGTTTGTTTATATTTCTATATCTATTTCTATATATATATTCTATATTTGTTTATACGGTTGTTAAAATTTGGTTTTTTTTCGCTTTTCGAAAAGAAAAAATAATATATGGAAAATGGCTTTCAGGCTTTATTAATTTTAATAATTCTATAAAAACTAATCAATTATTAAGAAATAAAAAATTAAATTAAAAAGAAAACGTAGACTTTGTTGACAGACGAAACAAACTCTACATCACAATAAGGTTTTGTTAATTGATATTAAATAAATAATAATTAGAATTTAAATCAAAGTTTAAGAAAAAAAAACTCAAAATATAAAATGCCTTTCAATAATTTTTCTTTTCTTTCTTTCTTTCTTTTCTTTCTTTTTTGTTAAAAAATTAAATCATAGTTAAAAAATGTAATAAAAATAATATCAAAGCAAACGCCTTCAAGAAAAAAGAGAACAAGGAATACCCTTACCCTGTTAGTCTGTTTGAGGACACTAAATTTTACGGGCTTTTAAATTTTATAGTTAAAAAAATAAAAATAAATCAAATCAAGGTTAAAAATAAAATAAAACGTAAAAAAAAACAAATCAATAAAAAACTTCCAAAGCAGAGACATAAATATAAGTTGAGTTCGTGGGGACTGCGAACGAGAAACTGAACTTCAACTTGGACAATTGACAGGATCTAGACACTAAATTCTAGAGCTGCAACAATATCGATAATTCAGTCGTTGTTATCAATATTCGATGTTTACGCTTTATGGGAATTTTTCTCTACTTTTCTAGTAGGCATTGAAAAAACCCTCAAATTTATTCATTTCTTTTGAGCCATTTCTTTTCCTTTTTATGAGTCCTTGGTTATTCCCTTTAAATTTAGCCAAGTTTATTAGGTCGAATTAGCTACTGATTAAAATTATAAATACCCTGTAAGGTTATAAGAAAAACTTAACCTAAATATCCCCAAGTTCCCTCTAAGCCGCCTTGAGCATAATCCAGAAATTGAATTTATTTCAATTAAAATTCTGTCTTGGCTTGGCCCTGACACTTGACACTGAATAGGACGACGACGAGCGGCAAGGTCAAAGGCAATGAATGACACAGGATATTGAAAGTCAAGTTCATATTTAATTTCCGGATTTTTTCCATCTTTGCTGCAAACTACTTGCAGTCAATTTTTAAATATTTAAAATATAAATATTAAGTTGTATACATCTACATTTTACATATATAAAATTTACATATTAAATTTTAAATATCTAAAATTTACATTCAATTTTAAATATTTAAAATGTACAGAGCAGAGAATCCTTAAAATTAAATTCTTGGAACAAAAAGCGAGTCTTTAAATTTAAATATTGGAAATGGAATGTGAAAATAAATATATGTAAATATTTATGAGATATTTTTTGGATAAGACAAGAGAATCGGGTCCTTAAAATGAGATTAAAAGGTAAGCTGCTTTATTGAGACTACGGGGACTTTTTGACCTTTTTATCAAAATTTGTATTAGGAATTGTTTATTTATTTATTTTTTAATAATAATTTTAGTGCATAATTTAATAATAACGTTAGTGCACCTTTCGTTCTTTGGGGTTCACCTAAGAGTAAGCCGTTGTTAACCCAAGCCGAAGAGAGGGCGTGGAGGCGTGCAAGAGACACAGAGAGAGGGAACGCATGAGAGAGCGCATTAGCCAGATCGGAAGAGTGCAAAGTGGAATCAGCAATAGTGCTGACAGAATTTCAATAGCTAGAAAAGTTAAACCCACAAATAGCTTTAAAAAAATAAAGAAAATTTTTAAAAGACTTAAAAAAAATTATAAAAACCTTAAAATATGTAATACTTTTTAGAGTGCCAATTAGGTGATTCTCTAAACATATTTCTTTCAAGTACTGATGTTTTCAACTAGCCAGGTCTGGCAATAAAATATCCAGATTACCAACACTGATCAGCAAAACCAAATTGAACGCACGCTTCATTTTCATTTTAATTTTCATTTTCATTCTGTGTTGGTGTTTTGCAGCGTGAATATCACACCGGAGTCGAACCAAAAAAAAGAATAAGAAACGAAAAGTAAAAAAACAAAACTAAGCCACAGAACATAAAATGCAAAACAAGTAAATGATTAAAAAAAAAAAATCGGCAAAATGACACAAAAAACAAAACGTGAATGTGAATTAATTTTAAATTAAATAATCTAGTGACCGCCATTAAAAACGGATTAATTAATCAATTAATTTTTTTTTTTTTTTCATATTTTTTTTATAAATTAATTAAATAATTAACAATAGTTAATTCTTTGTGCTAGTTTCATGTACATTGTACATTTTATAAAATTATTATTATTTTTTAAAATCAATTGACTTTGTTGTGTGTGTTCCTGTTTTTTTTTTTGTTGTATTTTGTGTTCCGTTGTTTTTGTTGAGAGTGCAACTGCCTGTGCGGGGCGTAGAAAGAGAGCAGTGCCTGTGTGTGTTTGTGAGGAAGTTATAGTTTAATGTTTTTAGCTTCAATTGTCGGCCAACAACAAATAAGAAGAATAAATAAATAAATAAAATTAAAATCAGCCGCAGCAGTAGCAGTGACAACAACAACAACAAAGCGATGCTGATTGATGTCACACACACACGCGCACACTTACGCACCCAGCGAGAATAAAGTAAGTAAAGTAGCTGACAATTGGATTTGCATGGCGAAGATTTAGAAGAGAGAGAGAGAGTGAGACACTCAGCAGCAGCAGAAAGAGAGCCGCCCGAGTTTATCAATGAAAGTGAACTTTTTCCAGTGGGAGTTGTTCACATTTTCCGAAATGTGCAAATGTATGTGCAAGGGGCTCGGGCTCGGGGGGGTCACAAGGGGTCAAAAGTTCTTCATTTTCACCTCACACCTGTTTTCGTTTCCATTTCAGTTTTATATTTTGTTTTCTTTCTTTAAAAATCTAATTTTTTTTTGTAATAAATATTTCTTAAAGAAAAATGTAAGTTTTTAGAGTTTAAAATTCATTAAAAAAAAATGTTACAAAATTGGTATTAAATTTGTAAATACGCTTATAGTACTGGCTTTTTTGCTTCCTTTTTTTCTGATAATATTTTTCTTACAAAATATATTAAAATTATTATTTATAAAGTTTGCCTTTAATCGAGGAAATTTCATTTAAAATACCTTTGTTTATTTTTCCACATTTTAGTTAAAGTTTATTCTTCTTAAATTTAAATAAAATTAATTTTTTTTGTTTAATTTCTTTGTCACCCAAAAAGGTAGCATAAAATATTAAGCAATAAAAACCCCTTTTTTTTTTTAATAAAAACACAAAAACTACGCCAGTGGCTTTGTGTTGCATTAGAGATGCTCCCATGATTGAGGAGGGGGGGATGCTGCACGCCCTGGGCCAGGGGAGAAGGGAAACGTGGAAAAAGTAGAGGAAAAAAGTAATGGGGAATAATGAGCGGGAATAATAATGATAACAAAATTCTGGGAAGCCGGATAGCCTGACCTTTGTTATCCAACCAGAGAAACCCAATTGAGTGTTTGAGTGTGTGTGTGTGTGTTTGTTCACTAATCGAAACTTTCCAGGAAAATAAATTAATTTAGGATTTCCAAAAAGAATAAGGTTATTCAAATTTATTTTATGCAAATTTAAATGAAGAATTTAAAAAAAATAACAAATAAATCCATTTTTTTCAAGAATTTTTTAAAGTTTTTATTTAATAATGAATGAGTAAAACATGAATTGACTTTTATGCATTCATATTTACTTATTTATTTCATTATTTTGTTGTTTGTTTTCGATATTTGTTATTGTTTTGTGGCCTGCTATCACAAAGCACGTTGGAAATGTCTTAAAAATACATACATATATATGTATTGGATGAATAAACTGTTCCAAATTCATATGTATCGATGCGGGGCTATGTGCGTATATATGCTTATATATATATATATATATATATATATATATATATATATATATATATATATATATGTACATATATGTACATATATATATAACGAGAAATGCCGTTGCCAGCAGCCGCAGCAGCAGCAGCAGCAGCAACAACAACAATATACAAGAAACCTTTTGATAATCATATCACGCAGAGTCCACTGATAATTCGCATTGTATTTGTTTTGCTATTGTTGTTGTTGTTGTTGCTGCTGCTGCTTTATCAGCAAGCACACTCTCTCCCTCTCTTTGTGTACGTCTTTGGCCCCGCTCTTAATCTCTTTAAGCATTCTCTTAAGCTGGACGATCGACATTTAGCGGTTGTGGGAGGGGAGACTCTCTTTCGCACAATAATAATAAATAAATAAAAGCGGGCATATAATATATATATATAAATTTCGACTACAGTAAACCCACTCTATCGGTAATTTTTTAAAAATATTTTCTAGTTTTCCGTAATAATTGATCTCGGGGATAGCATATAGTTTTATTAATTTCCCTTGCCCAGAGCATTATATTTCGCCGTTATCTCCGATCGGCCGGACTAATGGAAAGTTTCCAGACTGTGTGTGTGTTTACATCGCGACTGGAGGGTATAGAGGGACGTGGGTGGGGGGTAGCGGGAATTATGATTTTTAGATCAAGCTGAAATTCAAGAATCGAAAAGTTTTGAATTCGCTCCCGATTATCTATCGACTGTTAATTCGATATTATTGTTATCTATTTTGTAAACCGATTCGGTTAATGAAATTTGAAGATAGCTTTAATTTATTTCCAGAACTCTACGATTATTTATTGTCTGATAATTCGATTAATACAAAAAATTCTGCTGATGTTGTTGGTTCTCTCCGATCCCACGGGAATCGGTAATTGTTTATAAAGTTTGAGTCCCCTTCTTTTTTTGTTTGTTTATTTTGTGGTTTGGCGCCGCCAAAGAAATTCAAGGGAAAATCTTAGATTTGGCTTCAAGGGAAATCTGAGATCAGCTTTTATATTGTTTATAAGCTGATTTAGGCTTAAGGTTCTCAGGGAAATTTGAGATCTTTTAGCTATTTTTCACTGATAAATAAATATAGCTCTTGTATGGGACTGGATCCCACCTTGTTTATAGCTTTATTATTCAATAATAATAAATATAATTTAAATAATAATAAACAAATTGAGGAATCGGAAGGAATTATGGTTGTGGTGTTGAGCATAAAAATATTTTGTAAATATTGAGGGAATTTTAAAGCAAACTTGGAGATTCCTCACAAAATATGAACCTTTGTTGATATTTTAATAAACTCTTTATTATTTTTTCTTTTAATTCATTGATAATTGCCATAATCTTAAGTATTTTCGAATCCAAAAACCTCTATAAAACATTACATGTTCATAATTAATATTTCCACTTTAAAAATTAGCTAAAAAGGATAAGAATTGTTTAAAAAAGAAAAGGAAATAAGAATAATAAGCTAAGAACACAAAAAAAAAGATAGAGAGAGAGCGAGAGAGAAGAAAAAAAAGTGATTCGAAACTATTGTGTAATTTACATTAACGAGCGGATGTCGTTGGCTTCTACTATATAATGAACCAATTACCCAGTTTGTCTCTTGATTCGATTGCTCTGCAGCCGCACAGATACACAGACACAGATACAGATACATGAACAGAGATACAGGTACACCAGAGCACTGAGAGCTGCTGTATCTGAATCTCTGGATATGTATCTGTATCTGTGCTGGTCTCGGATTCTGTACGATTCTGTTCTGTTTAGTGCTTTTTTTTCGCAAAGTGACTGAACGAGATTTTTGTGTGGCCGCCACTAGCTGCTGCTGCTGCTGCTACTGCTGCTCTTCCAATTCCGATTCCAATTCCATTTCATTCATGTTGAAGACACCCACTTGAATGATTATGAGGCACTGCAGATGCTCGCTGCGAGATACAGCTACAGCTATAGCCACAGATACAGATACAGATACAGATACAGATACGGTATTCAGAACTCAGAACTCATATTTGGCCATCGTCAAGTGACGCTTCCGCATTTGCCGGTCGGTCGGTCACCCACGTGCCAAATGCCTCAAGATACGCCATAAATTCCATTCAATTCGTAGTCCATATACCAGATATATGTATATATATATACCAGATTCAAGATTCCAAATCTTAGATCTACAAAAAATAAGCGATCATTGCTCTTCAAGTGGCTGAGAAGAATGCTATTCGCGGGCAACTTCAATCGGTTATATTAGTTTTTTTTGTTAAATGTTTAATATATTAATGCAGAACCTGCACAGCAAGTACAGTGAAAACAAACTAAATAGAACCTTTAAATTTAAATAAGATGCTTAAAAATATTTATCATATTAAATGTGTTCATTTTTAGCTTAAGTTTTGGGTGCTCATTTTGAAATGAATTAGTTATTAATTTAAAAAATGCATTAAAATTCAATCAATAAAAAAATTTTAATTTTAAAAATGAATTCAATTTTAATTAGGACACACATAAAAATATTTATCCTATTAAATGTGTTAATTTTTAACTCAAGTTCATCTTAAAATGAATAAAATTTTAATGTTAAACATTAATTACAATTCAATAAAAACTTGAAAAATTAATTAAAATTTAATTTTAAAAATTAATTAAAATTTAATTTTAAAAATTAATAAAAAATTTAATTAAAATGCCTAAAAATATGTGTCCTATTAATTATGTTTATTTTTTTCTCAAGTTTTGGATGTTCATCTTAAAATGAATGAATACCATTCCAAAACAACTTCTTTGGAATTATTTTGCAAAGTTTTCACTGCAGTTCGAATCTTTTATTTATTCTCAGTCAAAGACATAATAAAAGCAGCCATTATCGTACTGTGATTCGATCCCATCTGATGTGTAATTGTGCATATATCTTTGGGATATAATTGCCCAGCCTTAGTGGGCAATTTTCAATTGAAAATCTCAGCCAGCAATAACAACAACATCGCGCGTTGCCCAGACTGCATCCTTGGGACTAGTATTGGTTTATGATTGGAAAGAAAAACCAACTCTCTGGCTGCAATTTTCCTCTTGCATATTCATGAGGACGGGAAAATGATACACAGCACACACACGCACACACACACATCGTGTGCTTGTAGGCTTGTAATTTTTTAATAACACTTAACAAACGCCTTGGACTTGGCATGTAAATTGTTGATAAATTATGTTTTTAATAGTGCCGCAGTTTGCTGCCTGATGATGTTGTTGTTGTTCTTATTATTATTGTAGTTGTTGTAGTCAATGTTGTTGTTGTTGCTGGCTTATGTGGTCAGATAACTGGCGCCAAAGATACGAAAAAAAAATAGATATATGTACATATGTATGAACTATTTCAATGAGAACTCGAATTGCGCAAAATTGGCGCCCATTTGAATACCTCTTAAAAGCATAGTAATAATTGGTTAATAACTTTAACAATACAATCTAGTAAATAATTAATTCATAAAATACTAATCTTATTGGTTTAAAAAAATAAAGAAATATTTTAAATATTTGAAGATTGGTTAATAAGGCCTTATTAAATTATTTTTAAATTCCGAGAGGCCCTTAGATTACTTTTTATTTATAATAAATTTAAATAGTTTTTAAAAATTAATAAAATAACATTAATTTATAAAAAACTTTCATTGTATTATTTTAAAGATTTTTTAATTGTCAAAAAAATTGATTCTAAATACAGAATTGATTAATA